ATTCAACCTGAAAGCAAACCCACTGACAAGAAATGCACACACTTTGTACAGGAAGTTTCTAGGAAGTCTTGCAAAGCTCCTTGGACAGTGTCTGGCATGAGGCAATGCTGGGTAGATGTTAGCCCTTGTTCATCTTCCCATCGTATGGAGTGTGAGAAAGGCTTAGCAAATGTTAACGCGGAACAGTAAGGAACTGAACTGAACTTGAACCCGAGACCCCAGACTCTAAGATCCGTGTGTAGGTCTGTTTGTAAACATGTGTTGACACTAGGCTACAAGATGACTCTTTCCTTATCTTCTCATTCAGAAGAGGGATGTGATGTTAAATCTGGGGAAGTAAATGGAGCTTGGGAAGAAGCCTGAACTACGTGGGCAAGAGACACCTGTTTTTTCGGGCAAATCCTTCTCCTCTCCTCTCCTCTGCCCTCTCTCTTATCTCCTCTGTTTCTCCTGCCTCCTCCCAAGCAAAAGATCTGCCCTGCTCTTGCCCTGGTCTTGCTGCTGAGGACAGAGAGGGTGGACAGCCTGTTCTCAGGCCTGTCTCCCCAGAGATACAGCCTAGAGCACCCTCTCCTGAGGGGTGCACATCAGTTGCTCCTGTTCCTATTTCTGAAGGCCATCTGAAAAAAAGATGGAGCTGGGGGGACCCCACCTGGGGCACCTGGAGAAGCCTTGGGTATGAGGGTAAGAGGCAGGACCTAGAGCTCTGGGCTGTACAGGAAGGAGCCACTGAAGAGGAGCTCCTGAGACAGGACGGCAGAGGGGAAGCCCCAAACCTCTGGGCTGCCAAAGATCCAGCTGCTCACAATGAGCTTCCATCTATACCAGCTCTGGGGACTGGTGAACCTGGACAAATGCCAGGTCTGCTCATTGTTCATCCCTGAGCCTCAGTCCTCTCATCATGAAATGGGCCTAACAACGCTGGCCCTTGGTAGTGGTGAGGGCCCGCCCACCAAGCACTCAGCCACACCTGGGGGCTCCAGAAGCAGTGGCTTTTGTTCTCATTTGTAGCATTGTTATTATCACTGATATAGTTTAGCAAATGAATGCCATACAAATCTGTTCTTGGTGGGGGACATGCTTTCCTCTGCTCTAGGGGACCTGAGCACCTTGAAAACACTGTGGGGAAAGAACAGTCCAGGGCATGCTCTGCCCTCTTTCCCAGCCCAGGCCTCTCCCATACATTTGTTTTTTCCTCCCATACATTTTTGAGCACCTCTGGTGTGCTGGGAACTCATCAGACACTTGTATTGACACGTTTCAATTGCAACTAACATTGATTGATCACCTGCCACGTGCCAGGGCTGATGCTGATACAGGATATCCAGAGATGAACAAGAAAGTGTCCCTTCCCCCAAGAAGGCCAGCCTGATGAGGACGGGACAGAACGTGGAAAGGGCTTCAACCCATTCCATTTATTTGAAACAAGAATCAAAGAGCACCTACTATATTCCAAGCACCTCGCTGGGTGCTGTGGGTAGAGATGAGGCCCTGCCCTCAAGGGTCTCAGTCCACAGGGAAACAGAGAGGTTAACCAGCATCGTGAGCACTTCATAACGCTCCCATCATTTCATAATTCTGTAGTGTCCTCATGGTAGTTATTCAAGGAGCTGGGCTTATGAGAAATGGGGAGGGGGAGGTGTCATGGAAAGCTTCTAAGTGGGGTCACCCTTCCACTGAGGTTCTGAGTGTGGGCAGATATTGGGGAATCCTGGAGGAGAGCCATGTTTAAGGAAGACTTCCAGAGCTCTTGCTGCTGACAGGTTGTTGAGGGGCAAGAGTGAAGAAAAGTCTGGAGAGTGGGTCATCAGAACTGGGTCTTGAAGCATGAGTAGGAGCCCAGACAGGAGAGGTAGGAGAGATGAGCTGGGGCAGATCCAGACAGGCTTCTTAGATGCTAATGGGTTTGGAAGACTTGATCCTAGGAAATGGGGCCAATGGATGATGGTTTTAGGGAGAAGGTCAGATAATAGTTTGAGAAAGCTAATCTGCTAGGAGAATGGGTGAGGAGGGATAGAGAGCAGTGACATTATTATAAAATAAATAAATAAATAAATAAATAAATAAATCTGACTTTGAACCTACTCCCACTTCCCTTACAAGCTGGGGAGAGAAATCCTCCCAAATGTCCAGTGCACAACTTTCCAACAGCCACAGGGTATAGCCATGGATGCAACAGGGCAGGGCACCTGCTATCATTTATCATCTCCAGAGACAGGGCCACCAGGAAGTTGTTATAATTATTATTATTAGGGAAAAACCTATGCTGTGCTGAAATATGCCATCCTGCCCCTCCCCCCTCCAGAGCTGTGGTCGAGGGAAAAGGAGCCAGGTAGTTTCCAGGATGGTACATGCTGAGAGAGAAGCAGCATCCGGGCAAACTCAGAGGCTCTTAGACCCAGATGTTAAAAGGAGAGACCAGCCTCTCTGTCCTAGATGCCCTCACACAGCCTCTGTCTTCAACTGGGCACTCCCAGAAGCTTTTATTTGGGGGGTGACCCCAGGATGCTCTAGCCCCCTGCTGATGGACAGAGAGACAGACAAGGAAGGAAGGCAATACCAGGGGTTCCAAGCAGGAGAGCACCACAGGAACCTAGCGACATCTGGGAGACAGCAGTGTCTCTGAGCTGTCTGTCCAAGAGGCCAGGAGCTAGGGTATTTGTCCTTCCACTTCTGTCCATCCGTAGCTGATAGATGCTCCTAGAGGTGCTTGCCCTGCCCTGGCAGGACACACAAAAATGTTCCTCCCAGTCAGAGAAAGCCCCTGGTAGAGAGAAAGTGACCTTTTAAGTGCTTATCGCAACAATGCTTATCACATTTGTAATCTAAATGACTCAATGCTGTAATTACCCATTTATTGTCTCCCTCCTGAATTAGAACATAATCTCTCCGAAGGCAAGGATGGCATTGCCTCTGTATCCCCAGGACCTAGCTCAGTGTACACATGGCAGGTGTTCAATAGATACTTGCTGAATAAATGTAATTAGGAGGTTGATAAATTTATATAATTATATAGGAAAGGGCCTAATTCCTTCTGAATACTCTCTTTTCTTCCTCTCTCTTCTTCCCCCTCTCTATCCGGATGTAGCAGATTTTACAAATTATTGCCCTTTTTTTCTTTTCTGGTCTTCCTATAGAGAGCTATGGTTGAAATATGGTTTGTCCCCTCTAAAACGCATGTTGAAATTAAATTCCCACTATGAGATATTAAGAGGTGGGACCAGGTGGGACCTTTAATAGGTGATAAAGGCTCTGCCCTCATAAACAGATTAAGCCATTCATATAATTACTGGATTAGTGGGTTAATGGGTTAATGGACTCTCTGCAGTGAGTCTGCTATTAAAACCGTCTTGGCTAGGTATACTGAGAACTCCCTATCTCTTGCCATGTAATGATCTGAGACACCAGGACTCCGCCAGCAAGATGGTCATCACCAGATGCAGGCCCTCAACCTTGGATCAGAATTATGAGCCAAAATAAAACTCTTTTCCTTAAAATATATCCAGTCGGTGCTACTGTGATATTAGCAACAGAAAGCCAACAAAGTAATACAAGGCCCAATATTTAACTGTGCCCATGACCACCTGGAATAAAGGATACTTCCCAGCTTCCCCCGCACGTGAGAGCCCATGTGACTAAGTTCTGACCAACAGACTTGGAATTGATGACTGCTTCTTCCAGGGTATCTCTTTATGGGTAGAGGATACCCATCTCTTTCCCTTTCCTCTTTCCTGCTGGCTGAAATTTGGGTACCAGGGTTAGATCTGAAGCTCATTAGGTAGAAGACTTGAACCAGAGAAAGTGGAAGCTAGAAGATCTGGCAACCCTGATGATGAGAGAGCAGCCACTCCCAACCTGGGCTCAACCTCTAGTCGTTTTTTTCGTAAAAGTACTTTTTTTTTTTTAACACCATTGTTATTTGGGATGGTGTTGTCCTTCCCTTGGAGCTGAACAATTTAATTCTAAGTAATACCCAAAAGGTACCTGTTAGACTGACTTCTGGGTAGACGAAAGTACAACTATCCTCACAAATTCCCTTTCTCTGTGGAATGGTGCAGACGTGCCCCATGGCAGATTCAGGGCTGGGTGCTGCCACACCCGTGGTTCCCAACAGTGGCATCAATGTTCTTAGATGAGGGGATCCTCCTTTTCCATCTCCATTTCTCAAGAGTGTTTGGGAAGATAAGCCAGTCGCTCTGAGCACGCACTCCCCACTTACATGCTGTAGGAGGGATTCGACGCTGTGCCAGCTCTGCTGCCCCTGTACTGTTTAAGGACAGAGGTAGAAACAAAGGCAGGTGAAATGCAGAGTCCCCACAAAACAGGGAGGCAGGGAAGAGTCACGATCCCACATTACCACACCTACACCGGGGTTATAAGGGCAGGCACTGGGGCTGCAGGGAAAAGTGGCGAAGCTTCGGGGCTCAAGTGAATCCGCACCCCAGCTCCCCAACCTTGGCTGTCCTGGGCCTGCCTGGAAAACAGAGCCGGGAATGAGGGGAGAACTTGGGGAAGAGATGGTCGCTCCGCACCCATCTTTCTTCCTAGGCACCGCCGCACTGGGGATATACTTTCTGGAAGAAATTTGCCAGGCGGTGTGACCTTGGACTAGTCCCATCCGCTTCCCGACCCTGCTTTCCTTCGGGTCCCCTCAATACGTTGTGGCAGGCGGTGGCTCTCCTTAGCCGGGGAGCCTGGGGGTGCTGGGGTGCCAGGGTGGGGGGCGGGCCGCTCTTGTCGCTGAAAGCCGGCCAAGCGCACCGCGGGCGCTCAGAGCTGGCGGCCGGGCTCCTGCGCTGCCTAAACCCGAGGGCGCTCTCCGGGAGCGCAGCGCCGGGGACTTGCGGACCGGGCTGCGGGCCGCCGGGCGATCAGGGCCTGGGCAGCGCGGACGGAAGCCCGCGGACCCCGCCCGACCCCTCCCGCGGGCGGGGCGGCCCCGCGCCGGCTCCTCCCCCGGCGCCCGCCCGGCTCAGTCGCGGCGCGCGGTTCCGCAGGTGGCAGCGATGGCCCAGTCCTGAGCGCCCCGCCATGGCCGGCGCCCCCAGCCCGCTGCGCCTGGCGCTCCTGCTGCTCGGGGCGGTGGGCAGGGCTGGCCCCCGCCCCCAGGTGAGCCCCGGGGACCCCGGGGGGAGGGGGAAGGGCCTGAGGACGCGGGGACCCCGCAGGAGCCCCCGGACTTGAGCGAAACTCCCTCACTGCAGACGGGGAACCGAAAGGCTCCCGGGGGGACTAGGGACTGGAGAGTTGTGTGGCCCAGGTGGAGCCTGGACAGGGAACAATCCCCCCACGCCGGTGAGGCGCCCACTTCCTCGCCGCCAGGGCCCCTCTGCCAGGGCACCAGCTGTCCCGGCCGCCCTGCGCTGACTACTGCGCCGCATCCTTGTCCTTCCCAAACCACTTTCGGAACTCCTTCTCCTCCTCAGCCCATGCCCGCGGCTCTGTCACAGCCCAGTTCTCACTGCTGATCACCCCCACCCCCATACACTGGACCCCTGGCCTGCGGTGCGTCCCCCTATACTTGCGTCCTCGTCCTCCGGTTAAAAACAGTGAGAGGGCTCCGAGAGGGCTGAGAAGGCCAGGTATGGAGACCCAGCTTGTTCACTCTGGCATCAGACCCACAGGACAGCCTTTGACTCATAGCCCCAGGGACCCTGTGGTGGTAACTCGTCCTTCCAGGTGACCTCCCAGATGGGACTTGAGTGCCACCTCCTCCCTTAGCCCCTGCAGCAAACAGAAGCCTCAGTGGTCCTCCAGAAACACTCAGCGCCCCCCAGCACACATACTCTGCTGACACCCGTTCTGATCCCCCTGATTGACAGCCCATGCCAGATTGCATACTGGGCCGCGCAGAAACACCCTGGCCTCATTGCTGTTACAGGAGAGCAGGACACAGGTGGACCCTTGTAGCCCCCTCTCTGGCTCTCCTTGCCCTCTCTGCCCTCCCTGCCCAAGACCCCAGCCAGAGGAGGTATTAACTGCCTTTGGAGAGGACGGCTGTCCAAAGATGCTGGGACATGCTTGAGCAGGCTTGGGTGGCTCTTAACCCCAGACCTAAAGAACTGAGATCTTTGGGGTGGACCTGTATTGGTCTTGAAATTTGTCCCAGAATAGGAGAAAGGCTGCCTTAGTGAGAGCAGACACCACTGCTGACTCAGAATCCAGATGTGGACAGATATGCCTCTAAGCTAGGGTGCCAGCACCTTTTCAGCTCCTAAATCCTTTTCCAGACTCATTTTCTCCCTCTCCCTATTTCCAAGAGCCAGTTACTACCCCTGGTCCCAGGAGAATCCCTCTCTCTTTCCATGGTGCTTTCCTCAGGACTTCCCAGTCAGGCTATGGTTTTCCTGGTGAAGTCAGGATCTTTCCATACCAGGACTGCAGACTCACTACCTGTTCTCGCTCATCTTATGGGCTGGGAAGGGATGGGGTGGGAGGCTGTGCATCCTGGTCCCATCCTGCTGCAGGCCAAGTTTGCAGATCTGGTTTGGATGAAAAAAAAAAAAAAAAAAAAGAAGAAAACTTCTATGGACTGTGTGTCTTCTTCCCAGCCCCTTTTTGCAGAGGTAACAGGCTCCCTGAACCTGCCCTTTCCTCTGATTCCCCCTCACTCCTCAGCCCTGGACCATAACAGGACTGGGGTAGCAGAGACGGACAGGAGTCACCAGGCACTGAGCAGAGAGGGTGGAGCTTTGGGGGAAGCTCTCCTTGTGGGCAACAGAGATGTGACTGACAGGCGGCTTTGAGGTTAGACTGCAGTAATTGTGACAAAACTTCATACACGCATATAAGACTCTAAAAAAGCGAACTTTGCATTTTGTTTTCTGTCTAGGAGGTCAGTAAGACTAGAGTTACTCCCTTACATCACTGATGGAGGAACAAAAACTCAGAAAAAGAGGGTCCCTATATAAGGTGGTCCTGCAGTTTAGAAGCACTGAAGGAAAAGGGGGTGGGGCCTGGTCCCCTCCTCCTAGGGGCAGGATTGTGGGGAGAATTAAGTGAGCCACTGTCATGTCTGCTGAGGCTGGAGGCCACTTGCCTGTAGATAGGGGATGGCTGAGTCCACTTCTGATAAAGGTGACCTAGGTCACTCCTTCACTATTGCTGGGAAGGACCACTCCCCTCCCCTGTTCCTTACCTCCCCAAGACTTTCGGCAGAAGACTGGTCTCTGAGAAGACAGGAGTGCCTTTAACACCCAAATTAAAACCAGACAGAACTGGGTTCAAATATGAGGTCTACTACTAGCTGGTGGGGTAGGATACTGGTCTTGAGTAGGATACTGGACCATCGTAAACCTCAGTGTCCTCATCTGTAAGTAAGAATGAGAAGATCTATCACATAAGGTCAGTGAGAGGATTAGCACCCTGAAATGGCTGCTTTAGTCACCTGAGAGTATTGGTCTGTTTGTCTTCTGGAACCTGGAAGTGTTCCCAGAGCTAAGAACAGGACCTAGAGAGGGGGCTCTGCACTCTCATAAAAGGCAGACAGGGTCCAGAGCTGTGCCTTGGTCAGTGTGGACTTTGCCTTGAGCGAGGCTTCCTCCTGGATATAGACCCAGTGAGGGGTCAGAAACCACCTCCTGCCTCCAGTGCCTTCCTCTAAGGAAAAGTGGGCCCCTCCTTCCCTGTAGCCTGCAGGGCCAATTCCTGCGTATGCATCTGCACCTACATGTGTGAGACACAGAGAGGGGTGTGGGATAGAGGTGGCTACAGAGAGACAGATGGGGGAGGAGGGGGCAGGCGGATGAACCCCATTTCCCTGGGCATCTGTACATGACCCTGTGTGTGACTATCTGCCTGGACAGGAGTCACTGTGTGTGTAGCAACATCTTAGCATGTAACTGGGTGCCCAACATGTGTCTTGGTGACCCTTATTTGATACTTTGTCTGTGGGAGGGTCTCTGAGTATGTGTGACATCTTGGAAAGTATATGTGTGACATCCTGCTGGTATGTGTTCGTGTGTGTGTGTGTGTGTGTGTGTGTGTGACAGAGAGAGAGAGAGAGAGAGAGAGAGAGAGAGAGAGAAGGGGGGGAGTGTGTACATGTGGCAGTGTCTATGTTTGCGACAGTGTGAGTCAAGTGTATGAGTCCAGAGGCATGGGGTTTGTGTGTGTGTCTGGGTGAAAGTGTGTGTTGGGGGCAGTGTCTCAGCATGTGAGTATGCCTGGCAGTCTGTGAAATGATTGTATGTGTGGAGGGAATGACCCCATTTCACGGTCTCAGCGTTAGGCATGTCCTTGAGGGTGTGTGTGATAATGCATGTGACCATTTATCCGTGCCAGGGTTCCTGAGCTTGTGAGAAGGTGTGTGCTGTTCACGTCTCCCTGACCTGCTGTTCAGACATTGAAATTCCTTAAAGAAAAAAAAATGGGAGTGGGGACAAAGAGAGAGGGCTCTGGCAGCCTCGCCCTGCAGGGCCGCGATGGAAGGCATGACTTGGGGCTCTGGGAGGTGGCAGGTAGGAAGGACAGGGTCCTGAGGGAGAGGCCAGGGAGACCAAAGGGTCTACTTGGAGCCTTCCAGATATTTGTCTGGAGCCCTCGCTGCTCCTTCTGAGAGGCCCTCCCTCCCTCCTATGGCCCACCCAGTGGCCCAGAGAAGCTGTGTTCTCTCTCTCCTTTTCTTCAACTCAGAAAGTTTCCAGAAAGGGAAAGAACCTGGTTCACATATTCACACACAGAAGTAGGAGGCCCTTTCCCATTGCAGCCAGATTTAGAGAGGGGGACAGTCCCAGGCCTTGGGAAGCCTGTCACCTGAGGGTCCCACCCCTCCCATGTCCTTCCTTCTGCCCTTCTTCCTGCAAATGCTGCCCGCTGGCTCTAGGCTCGAGACCTCCCGAAGGTTTCCATCTATCTGTATGCAGTCACTCTGAACAGGAGCAAATGCCACTGTCCAGGTGAGGAAGTGGAGGCCCCAAAAGATGAAATGCGCCATACGTTAATGGACAGAGCTAGGATATAAACCAAGGACTTGTGACACTTCCTGTGCTCATTCCCACAGACCACACCACTCCCTCTGACATTCCCTTTCCTGTCTCCTGCTTCCTCCCCAAACTCCTGAACCTGAGGGGATGCCCCTCCTTATTGTCACCTCCAGCCCTGTCATCCCCTCAGAGGGATTCCAAGCAACCTGGAAGTCCTGATTCTAAAATCTGCCCACCTGCCCTTACTCTGTCCCCTTAGGTCCCCACTGCTGCCCTGTTCTTGTGCCAGAGCTATGAGGGACAGGGACACCTGCCACTGTGTCCTCCTCACCCTCCAGACATCTCAGCAGACTCGGAGCAGGGACTCAGGTGGCAGGAGGAGGAAGTAGGGGGAAGATATGGGCAGGACCTACCCCGTCCCCGACAGGGCAGGGAGCCCCAAGCCTTCCCCGCTTCACTTAACCATTGGCCACGTTTGCTGCTGGAAGCTGTCACTAATTAAGCAGAATAACTGGTCTTTGGGCATGAAAATCTATTAGTTTCATCTTTCTGGGAGTTTGCTGATTCTAGAAGGAAAGGAGGAATGAGGCCCCCAAGTCCGGGAAGCCAGACCTGCCTCTTCCACTTGGCGGTTTCCCCCGAGCAGCAGAATCCTGAGGACATGCCATTGACTGAGCCTCCTCCACGTGCAGGGGCCACTCCAAGCATTGACTGGGTCCTCACGAGGATCCTGTGGGGTGGCGGTTCTTACCATCCCACTTGGCACATGTGGAAGCTGAAGCCAGAAGTTAAACTTGCACAAGGTCACAGACCGAATTTATGGGAGGGAGAGCCAGGATCAGGCCCACATCTGAGCCCAAAGCTAGGACGGTTCCCCCTCCACTGTGTCACCTGGGCACCTCGACCTGTGGCACTTATTGGCCCCAGCCTCACTTACCTGCTCTTGTCCCAGGGCAGAGCCTTGCACCTGTCCCTCCATTCTCTCCCCGTCCCGGCTGAGCACTAACCCACAGCTTTCCCAGCTCACCAGAGCACCCATGTTCCTCCCTCTGTGCTTTGTCCCCGCCATGCCCTGCTGACATGCCACCCTCATTGCTAACAGCCACCCCACCCTCCCTTCAGTGTACCCCCACCTCCAGTATTTAGAACCACCTGACAACCATGCCAAGCACTTCTAGCATTCTTGGTCATGTCACTTGTCCTGCAAAGCATTTGACCCCCACCCCAAGCAGCCCTTGGACCCTCTGCAGTCAGGGCTCTTAGGGCCATCTTTATATGCTCTATGTCCCCTTCGCCCACCACTACTTAAAACCTGGCACACCCAGGGCCTCCCATGAAGCTGTGGAAAAGGCCAAACTCTCCATAGTTGGTGATGAGTATATGTAGGCAGGGGTGGGGTAGGGGCTGGCAGGCATCTGGAGATCCTGAGCAGGCACAGAGAAAGAGCAGGACACCCCGATCGTCAGGGAGCCCCACAACCGAGGGGGAGACATAGCCTGCCCTCAGGGAACCCCAGTCTGAGGAGACAGCCTGTCCTTAGAGAGCCCCAGTCTGAGAGACATGTAGCCTCTTCCTCAGGGACCCCTCGTCTGGGAGAGACAGGGCTGTGTCCCAAGGGAGCTCCAGTCTGAGGGGATGCAGCCTGTCCTCAGGGACTCCCCAGTCTGAGGGGATACAGCCCTGTGCTCAAGGAGTCCCAGTTTGAGGGACATGCGCCCCCCCCCCCTCAGGGAGCCCCAGTCTGAGGGGCAGATGAAGATATTTCACATCCATACTTTGCTCAGAATAGGTGAGAAGGACACTTCTGTTGGAGCCACCTGGGTGTGGGTGGCCAGGCTGGCCCTCCCCTGCTGTCCTGCTGGAAGGTGCTGGGTTCTGCGGGCCTCCTTCTCACTCCCGGCCTAGACACACCTTCTGCCCTGTTCCTGTCCCCAGTGACCCTGCTTCCTACTGTCTTCCTATTGGAAACAGAAGTTAAGGGGGAGTTCTCCCAGGAGGAAGAGGGAGCAGGGAGATGGGAAAGGAAGTGGACAGGTGGCTTTATCCCCTGGACTGATTCTCAGGAAAACATTGCCAACCCCTCAGCTGAAATCACGCTAAAAATCACGCCACCATGTTTACTGTTGGTACATTTGATTTCCTTTTCTTCCTTCACCTCCAACAAATAAGCTGATCTTTACCCTCAGAAGAGCCCTGTTCTCCAGGGCAGTCCCCCCGCCCGCCAGCCTTAGCTCACTCACTGCTCAGAGCAAGCCTGACTCCCCTCTGGAGCTTTCCGTGTGGCTAGGGAAGCTCAGGTTGGCACCTGGGACTTTGGAGAGATGTCTTTAACACAGCTCAGCTCACCCCAGGGCAGGACCACCTGGCACCAGGTCTGGTGTGTGCTTAGGGTGCTGCCGGCGAGTCAGGGACACCAGGTTCTGAAATGCTTTAATTTCAGCCCACGTGTACATCTCTGTGATTTCAAAAAGTGAAATTTTTGTTTTAAATCATGTATAGACCCTAAATTTTATACAAGGGGCTCTCTGGTCATTTTGGCAACTACAGCCTCACAATAAGGAATATTTATAATCTTTAAGGCTGTTCAGGAAAAAAAATGAAATGATAAAGCACCCAACCCAAAGGCATTGCATACACACACACACACACACACACACACACACACGCACGCACGCACGCACGCAAACACGCACACACCCACACCACCACCACCAACAACAACAACAATAAACGTGCAGAGGGTGGTGCCTGGGGGAGTGGGGCTGTTTGGTTGGTGCTGTGTGTTCCTTTAGGTGAAAATTGAGATTCATATCCCCCACTCACAAGGAGGGCCCCTCCCATCGCAGGTGTGACTTCAGTGTTCTGGAACCTTCTTGACCCCTTCCACCATGTCCTCTCAGGGTGGCTTTTCCTTCTGGTGGGTAGAGCTGGGCTGAGTAATGGATCTGTGTCATGTTAGAGGGTGGCACTGGTGGGCCTGTAGCCTTCCCCGGTCAGTGGTTGGGTTTTGCCGGAGGAGTACTAATCTGGCTCTGTCTGTAGTACCAGGTGTGGCTGCACCCTACACCCTTAGTCCTTGAGCACAGTCACCCAGCTGGGGAGCTCCAGGTCTGATCCTTAGCTCTGCTTCCTGAGGTGCTGGGTTCACTTAGGCAGGCTGAGGAGGCATGGGGAGGTGGGAGGCCCCGGCAATGAGGCAGCCCTGGCCCTCAGGAAGTCCTCTCCTAGACCAGGGCACGAAGGCATGAATGAGTCACACATGCTCTGCTTCCCCTTCAGCCACCCATCCCCTGAAACTACCTACTACCTTTGCGTCAGGCTCCCCGCCGCCCGGGAAGGGTGCGGGTGCAGAAGGCTCCACTCGTTCTCCCTTTCAGAGGGGGCCGTTGCCTGCCTGGGGGGGTTGGGGTGTCTAAGATCCCTAGAGATCAAAAAACCAAGAGGGTGGGGGTGAGAAGGCAGAAGAGGGGCTGGCTGGGCCCACAGGTCCCCATTTCTGCCCTTTCCCCTCCAGGGCGCCACCGTGTCCCTCTCTGAGACGGTGCAGAAATGGCGAGAGTACCGTCGCCAGTGCCAGCGCTTCTTGACGGAGGCTCCACCTCCGGCCACAGGTAGGTCCAGGTGGGGCCTCATCCTCACCCTCTCCCCCAGCCATCGCTCGGAAAGTGGTGATGGAGCCCACGTTCGTGCTTGGGTGTCATTTGCTTCTCTGGGACGTCACAGCTGCACTGTGCCCCCAGCCCTTTGTCAAGCTGTCCCCTCTCCTGAATGCCTCTCTGTCCCTGTCCCCTACCTAGAACCACAGGTTCTTCCAGGTCAAGCTCTCCTTCCCCCAGGAATCTCTGTTGTCTACCCAGTGGCCTGCGCTCGGCTTTGGGGGGCTTATCCATCCTTTCCACCCCCAGCTGGAGCCTCTCAGAGCAGGGACCTGGCCTTTCCATTTCATGTCCTCCTCGGCCCCTGCTGACCTGTGCAGAGACTAAAAGTCCAACAAGCACATTTATAAGAGTGAATATTGCCGGAGTTTGTAAGGTGGTTTAAAGAGCACAGTATTACAGTCATACGGTCCTGGGATCAGATCCTGACTGTAATTATCACAAGGTCACTTGAGAAAGGTTTTCTCAGCTCATAAGCTACTGTTTATCTCTGATCTGTGATGAGTAACCTAAAGTAGGCCTTTAGGGATTGTTTACTGAGCACTTACTATGTCCATGTATGTACATACAGTCTTCTCCCCCACAAGGTCCCACGGGGTGGGGGGTACCTCCCTTTACAGAGAGGAAACAGGGACCAAGTCACTTGCTCAAGCAGCTTGTTCCTGCAATGTGGGGAAAGTGCTTGGCATACAGTAAGCACTCAGCAGAGGTCAGTGGAGTGTGGCCTCCATGCTGGGGAGAGGCGGGGATGCTCCCTGGCTCCACACTGGCAAGGACTCTAAGATGATCCGCTCTGTCTGCAGGCCTCTTCTGCAACCGGACCTTTGATGACTATGCTTGCTGGCCAGACGGGCCCCCAGGTTCCTTTGTGAATGTCAGCTGCCCCTGGTACCTGCCTTGGGCCAGCAGTGGTGAGTCTTTCCCCTCCCTGCATCCAGGAGGCCAGGAAAGGGCGCTGCTTCCTCTCCTCTGAGATGCAGCCCTCGCACGTCTTTAGGCCTCCTAGTAAGTGGTCTTCCTGCCTCTCCAGAGCTGGGAAGGGGTGGGATGGTCAGCAGTGGCTGGTATCAGGGTGGCCTGAAGTACAGCCTGGGCCTGAGGCCTGTGCTAGCAAGTATGGGGTCTGACTTAAGACCAAAATGTGACCCCTCCAATCTAGTAGTCAGGGACAGGGCCAAGTGGGCACAGACGCTAGGGGGTGGGGGGACACCCAGGTGTCATTGCTCTGCCGCACCTATGTGTGTGTGTGTGTGTGTGTGTGTGTAGGTGGCTCATACCTGGACGGGGCACCTGTCCACGTCCTGACTCTTCAAAGGCTCACGGGGAGCAGTGAGCAGGGTGTCGGTGGGTGGCCCCTCAGGCCTTCCCCAGCTCATTCCTGCTGCAGGGGAGATTCTGAACTGCGAAAGGTGCAGCTGGGTAGGTGGGAGGGTCACTGGGTACAGAGACCTACAGAGGCTGCTGGGGACACTTGACTAGGGGGGTAATTAATATGTCCTCTCCTCTCACCTCTCTATCCCAGCCTCCTGTGCTGGGGCACCATGGGATGCAGGAGCTGGTCTCCATGGGCTTCATAACAGGAGAAGAGGCTCTTATCATCATCATCATAATAGCTCGTGTTTATTGAATACCTACTATGTGCCAAGTCCTGTGGTAAAAGAGGGACGTTTGTTTAGTCTTTACGGCCACCCTGTGGTTATGCTGGTCTAGATGAGGAAACAAAGGCCCCAGGAAGTTTAAGTCACATGTTCCAAATGAGGCAGTGAATGGCAGAGCCTGGATTTGATCTTGTCCTTGCCCTTACCCTTGTGTCCCAGAAGGCCTGAGTGAGCGAGAAGTCCAGCCGTGGGGTGCCAGGGACTTCCTGGAGGAGGTGGCCTGGCGGGGCCTGATGTAAGCTTCACCTCAGCCCAAGAGACTCTGAGATCAGAGGAAGGCCAGGCGGGTCTCCTAAGAAGGCTGCACCCCCCACCCTGAGGTGCACAGAGGTGCACAGAGGAGACAGGGCTGGGGAAGAGGCAGGCACCTGGGGAGGACCTGGATTCACATGGTCCTCTTCACCATGGCCTCTTTACACTTGACCTACACGAGCTTCTTCTGTCCTCACAACAACTCTCTGAGGCAAGAACTCTGATCGCCCGGTCATTTCCAGATAAGGAAACTGAGACACAGAGATGCTCAGTGGCTTTTCTAAGCCCACACAGCTAAGGAGCCGTGCACCCAGGAATCAGTCCTGGAGGCTGGTTTACAGTCGCTGGGTTCAGCTGCTACGCCAGGCTTTCACTGGGGACGTGTGCTGTCTGGGCACACCCCAGGGAGGGCAGTGAGCGTCCCACCCTCTTCCTATGGGCCCTGCAGTCCCCCAGCTCGGCCTGACTAGCTGTGTAGGCAGAGCAGGTTCCCAGGCCTCTAGGCCTGGATTTGCTCGGCCTGGATTTGCTCGCCCTGGAGGTGGGAGAGAGCAGGCGGCGTAGCTGTGGGGAACACTGAAGGTCCTTGAAAAAACCGTGGCTATCAATTTTTCTCACCCTCCCTGCATACCTTCCTGACCTCCCACATCGCACACATGTTCCCTGTCTCTCGAAGATTTGGGACTGCTGCTCGGCCAGCCTTGGCTGGGCCGCTAGACCCCAGGGAGCCAGGCACAGGACAAGGCCCATCACTCAGCACTAAGCGCCCCCAGCTCTGCCTGCTGCTCGCGGCTCCATCCATCACCTTTAATTTTATTTGAGCAGGAAATAGGTCCTGGTGGTGCCCGTTTATGAGCGAACACGGTTTTATTGCTTTCTCCATGAAGATAACGGCCTGTGCACAGGCCCCCTGCCAGCCTCCTCCCCCTCCCCCGTCGCCAGGCTAATTTACTCCCTTTTTTGACACTCGGAATCACCAGCTCTGCCTCCTCTCCCTGAGTTAGGGACCCGCAGAGACACCCACCAGGCTCCCAAAACATAATTGCTGTCTCTGGCCTGGTGCTTCCCCATCAGATGCTGGCACCCGAGGCTGCCTGACCCCCCACCTGGGGCATATGGGAGTGGGAAGGGGGCAGTTCTGGAGCTTTCTTGGCAGCCAGTAAGAAACTTCACAGTGTGAGCTGAGGTTGGGGAGAAGGAAGACATTGCCTCGGGCGGAGGCCTGGCAGAAAGCATGCCCTGCAAGGAGTTAAGAGTGGATTTAATGGCAGGGTCCCTCACACAGGCTGGGCAGGGCCAAGGGACCAGTAAGGCATATATGAAGCTCCCAGAACTAAAAACGTGGAAAGCTTTAGCTCCCCTAGACCTGAGCAGCAAGGGGCAGGAGTGGGGCTGGGGTCCTCCTGATAGCTGGGGAAAGCCACCAGCAGGTCTGTGTCTGCAGAGGGGACAAGCCACTGCCAGAACTTCAGAACAAGCAGGGAGGGGCTGCTGTCCTCCTTCGGTCCCTGCCTCCCACTGGCCAGACTCAGCAGAGGGCCAGGAGCCTAGTGACACTGGCCCAGGGGTCAGCCCTCTGGGCAGGGAGCAAGGCAGAGGAGTGGGCAATTTGAGAAAGAATTCGATTCCAAACAATGACCGAAGACCTTTGTGAGGATCCCATAAGACCTTCAAGGGTGTGTGAGCGTGCTAGAGAGAAGGAGGACTTCACCACGAGGCTGAAGGGGTCAGCCCAGCCGCCCAGGCAGTGGTGCTGAGGGAGGTGGTGCCTCGGGTATGGTATAGGGAAGACTCCCAGGGACAGGTGACATCCAGGCCAGGCCTGGCAGAATAGGCAGGTGCAGAAAGGAGAAGGAAGGGCCCCTCACAGAGGGAGGACATTCAGGCAGCACTGTGGACATGGGTCCAGGTCTCAGAGCTGCACAATGTCCCAGAGGAGCCAGCCGGGTCTTGAATTCTGACCTTCCCGATTGAGAACCCGGACTCAGGAAGGTGCAGAGGGCGGGAGCAGGAGGGAGAGGAGGGCGGTGTTGAGGGGAAGTGCCGCATGCACACAGGATCCTGAGCTCCAGAGAGCCCATCACTGCCCCAGGGCCCTGCAACAGCCTCGTTCACCCACAAATCATTCCAGCCTCATTAGCTGCCCCTCTCCTGATTTCTACCTGTTTGTTAGCTTAGTTCTAATTATATGAGAGTCATAAAATGCTTTTAAAATAGCCTATCATTCACAGTTCTTAGAAACTCTGGCAGGTGCCTCCCTTGAGTAATGTCGAGCCCAGGAGCTTTTACGGCAGGCTGCGGTTGCCAAGGGGAGACTGAGGCACGAGCTGGGCCCCAGAGGTGCCCTGGCTAAAGAGTCATCAGACCCTTCCCTGGCCTCAGCGAAGGGCTGGAGTGGCAGCAGAGTCTCCACCATGTCCAGACCCAGCCCACCTCCAGCCAGAATGGGCTCCTGGGGACCACGGGCTCAGCCAGTGTTAAAGGTCTGCTACGCACCAGGGACTTCACTGTTTTATCTCCTGGGAAAGTCATTTTGCTTCCCATTTTACAAATGAGGAAACTGAGACCCCAAGGGCCCACAGCTGGTTGAGGGAAGAACCAGGATTTGATCTTGTGTCCGTGGAGTTGGGAACCTGGGCTCCTTCTCCTGAGCCCTGATGCTCCAGGCTACCTTTCCCACCAGTTTGGGAAGGGCCTGTTCCTTGCCTCTCTGAGTCTCATCATCCCCATCTGTACAATGGACCCAGTGGCCCTTGATGGCTGCCTCTGCTGCCAGGGTGCAGGAGCTAATGGATTCATGAGCTGCTCTCCACAGCCCTGAGTACCCACATCCTCATGGACAGGTGGCTGTTAGCTCGATAACAGGTGCCGCGACAGTTTCCAGGAGGGGAAGTGTTTAATTGGGGGTTTTATTTCCAGACCAGGGTCTGACTTAATGAAATATCCCTGAGCCTCCTGGCATGCAGCTCCTTGTGTTGACAAGATGGAGCCAAGCCCCTGGCTGTGATTGACCAGCTCCTCCCAGGCCAGATAAAGCTGGGCCCATAAGCAGGTCCGGGTCCAACCCAGCCCACCTCCAGCCAGGACGGGCGCCTGGGGACCATGGCTTGGCCAGGAACCAGCCCTGGCTTTTCACATTTGATGCTAATGAAGGATAACTGACAGATGCACTTGCACAGGCTGACTGAGCTTCTCAGTGACACGGTGCTCCCTGACTCTGTGACAAGAATGTACACATCTGTGCGCACACCGCTTCCCCAACCCCCCAGCTGGCCCTGAACAGGGGGCATGAGGAGTGCAAGCTCCCCCAGGGCCACAATGGCAAAGAGACCAGTTGGCACATGTTGACATGGTTGACTGTTAGCAGCAAGTCTGGCTGCTAACTTCCGTCCTCTGAAGGCAGAGAGCTAGAAGCCTGACTCTGCTACTTCTAACCGCCTGATCTCAAGCAAGTCACCTGGCTTCTCGGAGGCTGTTTCTTCATGTGTAAAATAGGATTGACGATGCCTACCTGCACAGGTGTCAGGCACGCAGCAGGTGTTCAGAAACTGATTCTGTGGATGCCCAGCTGCAGAGCAGGCTCTGACACCTGCTCACTGCCCATGAAGTCCGCTCAGGTCCCCGTTACTGCTCTTCGAGGTATCTATAGCCAAAGACTGGTCTTGCTGCCTATCTGATGACTTGACCCCCAGGAAAGGATTTCAGGCATCCCGCAGCAGATAGAAGAGGCATATGGGGACTGAGAGGAGCCCTTCAAGTTACTAAAATCAGACCATGCACCTCCCCTTCTCTGGGTTTACATGTGCCTGATTTTGTTCATCAATGCATTAGAGGGGTCCCCCGTGCTCATCCCACTGCCAGAAGTTCTACCATTAGATTTTGGGTTCTCATTTCTCTCCCAGGTGAAGTCTCTTTTAAAATGCAGGTTCTGCTGGGGAGGTGGCTCGGTGGTAGAGCACTTGCCAAGCATGTGAGAGGTCCTGGGTTCAATCCCCAGCACTGCAAAAAATAAACAAATAAATAAAACACAGGTCCTCCCGAAGGGGTACCGCTGCAAGTCCAGGATGCGTTAGGGAAGGAAAGACAAGGACAAGGTCCAGTCAACAGGCCCTTCTGGTATAGGAACTGGACCCTGTGATAAAGATCTCCTTGCCATGTGACAACAACCTTAAGATCTGTAAAATAGAGCCCCTGTATTAGAAGGTCACCCTCCAAGCCCCTGAGGGACACTCCTTGGTACACGCATGTTCACTAACCTCATTTTATTGCTGATCTCTCGACCTGAGCACTGACCAGCCACTTGTCACCCAGGACCTCTGGTGGCTTCTCTCTCTCTCTCTCTCTCTCTCTCTCTCTCTCTCTCTCTCTCACTGTGCCTGCCTCACACAGCGCAGGAAGCTGATCTTTAAAATCTTCTAGTCTTTTAGAATTTAAAATCTTTTAAAGTGTTCCCAGCCAGCTTCCCTCCTCAATCACCGTGCCAACTCCTCTGTCCCTTACCTGTTCCCTGGCCTGGTGCCAGACTCGGGTTCCCCTGCAGGGAGGTGAGGAATGAGGTGTTTTCTCCTAGACACAAGTAAGCACTCTCCCCACCCCACATCCAACCTGGGGCCATAAGCCTGTCTCCCTGGGTGGGGGAGGGGGAGGGCCGTGGGGCTTGTGGGGATGCTCTTAGCACCTGGATACCCAGGTGGGATGGGAATGGCCACAGGTGATATCCTCTCCTAGCTCTGCTAGGCCTCTCTCATCTCTGCTGGTTTGTATTGGTGGTATTCCTTTCTCGTGAGAGTCTTGACTGTGCCTCGTCCCCAGACTAGGCGCTACCTGAGGGCAGGGGCTAGGGCATTCCCCTCTCTCAGACTAGGAGGTCTCCAAGGGCTATTTCCATCTCCAAGTATGACTAGGGGTTACTTGAAGTAGACGCTTGCTCTTCCCCTTTGAAAGGTAAGTCCAAGGGCAAAGTCCATCTGTACCTGGAGACTGTGTTCCCTTTAGATCGGGTGGTCTTTGAAGGGGAGTCTGTGTCCTGGATCAGATTGATTGGGACTTCCTAAGGGGAAAGCTGTGTCCACCCTCAACTGGGCATCACTGGGACATCTGCCTCAGACGGGGTCTCCCTGAGGACTGGGCTGTATCTCCCCTCAGAGAACAGAGCTATGTCTTCTTAGACTGGTCTCCTCAAGGACAGAGCCTTATCTTCCCTCAGACTGGGGCACCCTGAGGTAGGGGCTGCAGTTCAGAGCCTCGGGGTCTTCAGTTTTCTTAGGATCTGACGTCCCCAAAGAGTGTGAGAGGTAAATGGGGCCAAGTTAGAAAATCAGAAGTTACAGAAAGTGACTGTGGCAGGGTCCCCTGTGTGATTTAATGCTGGGGGCTGGGATGTGGATCTGGGCTGTGGATCTGGGCTGGACTGACCTCATCTCAGAGATATGGGTTCATCCCACTGCATCCCCTGGTAGCCAAGAGGAGAAGCTGAGGGTGGGACTGGGTGACCAGTCCACCTTAGTGACCTGCTGTCCCATCCCGGGGCCATCATGGTTTATAGGATGGGATGAAGGTGTGTGTGTGTGTGGCAGGTCTGAGCCTCCTACTATCTCACAAGTGGAGCAGGGATGACCTTCAGGATGGGGAAGGACAAGGGCCTTTGAGCACTGGACAGGCCACCTGTCTCCAGGCGGAGGCTCAGCCACCCTCTCCTCTCCCAGTGCCGCAGGGCCACGTGTACCGGTTCTGCACAGCGGAGGGCCTCTGGCTGCACAAGGACAACTCCAGCCAGCCGTGGAGGGACCTGTCGGAGTGCGAGGAGTCCAAGCGAGGGGAGAAAGTGAGTTTGGGAGGAGTTCTGAGCCCAGGACCCAGCAGCAGGGTCTCCACGGTGGGCTTCTGGGGGGCCTGTCTGTGCTCCTGCCATGCACCCCCTGTCGCACCTTCTGGGGCCTTGGAATTTCCCAGGGCCTCTGAAGCCGTCTCCATAGGTCATTCTCGTCCTTGGTTCTGGGGTCCCCAGTGGGGTCTGCCTTGGGGCCCTCCCTGTCCTTATCCCCTGGAGAGAAGTGTGAGGAGTGAGGGGGCAGTGGACGGCACCACCCTCACTGTGTCCCCGTGTGCTCACAGAGCTCCCCGGAGGAGCAGCTCCTGTCCCTTTACGTCATCTACACGGTGGGCTATGCGCTCTCCTTCTCGGCCCTGGTCATCGCCTCCGCCATCCTCCTCAGCTTCAGGTAAGGGGCTGAGACCCTGGGAGGGGGCTCCTTCATGCTCACTGCTGCAGGTAGAGGAGGGGAACTCTAAGCCAAAGCAGCCTTACAATAAGCCCTTCTTTCTGGAACTCTCTGGAGAACACGAGGTTGAAAACCCAGGACAGCACTGTGTACGCACTCTGATCTCTGCTGGGTAACTATGTCCACATGTATGCAAAAATGACCCCCCTCACCTTAACAGGGGTGGAAAATCCTGGGCATCCTTTTCAGTGAGAGGGTGTAACTTCAGTAATCAGTAATTCAGTATGATTTTAGGTGACTAGAAATTCTACTCTGTCAGATGAGACCTTCCTCCTAGACTAGGAGCTGGGGAGCAGGTTCCTCCCATTCCCTCTGGGTACATCAGGGGAGCTGGGTTCAGGGACAGGAAGACTTCTGAGAGTGGGGACAACTCTGAGGGCAGGGACTTCAGGACACTAGCCCAGCAGGAACAGGAGATGTGGTATTCCTCTTTTTGCCCCCAAGTCACCTAGCACAGTGCTGAGCACACAGTCAGTGCTCAATAAATGCATTCACTGGACTAATATTCTTCTCTTTTATTATGAAGCCTTTCAGTGATGAATGCATCCAGCCTTCAAGTAGAGTCACATTCCCTGGTGACTGTAAGGTCAGCCCCTGGCCACCCCCACCAGAGGAAACCCCTGGCCGGACCTCTTGTGAGGTCCCACTCATTTCCTCATCCTTGTACCACGTTTCTAAGTGTCTGTAAAAATATACAGCATGGCTTTGTGTATTTTTAACAGTACATCATACATATTCTTCTGCATTTTATTTTGGTTCAACATTATGTTTTTGTGAGATTCACATTAACCAGGTAGTTCTATATCATTAATTTTAACAGTCATTCCATATTCTTTTGTTGTAGCACGGCTTATTTGTCTGATATCATTTTAATAGATAACTTATTTCTGACTTATAAACCTTGCTATAACGGGCTTTCTCACCTGTGACCCATCCTGTATCTCCCTTGGGCATGTATCTAGGGGTTCAACGGCCCAATCAAAGACCACCTGCTTTTGCAAATTTACTAGGTGGTAGTAAAGTTGCTCTTCAAAGTGGTCATTACCAATTTTCCCTCTCCCCAGTAGTAAAAGAGATTCCTTTGCTTAACATATTCCCCAGTATTTAATATTTTTAGAAATTAAGTGTCGCTACTCTGAAGTTTGTGAAATATCTCATTACAATTTTAATTTGCATTTAATTTTTAATTTAATTTTCCCAGGCATTTTTTCATGGTTTATTCTATGACTTGATTGTTCATATCCTTTGCTGAATTTTTATTTGTCTATCTGGCTTTTTCTTGTTTATCTCAGGCACTCATTATTCTAGATACTAACCCAGGATGTACCTTCTCTGAGTCTCTGTTTCTTTACTCACTCCATGGTGCCCTTTATGCATAGAAGTTCTACATTTTAATGGGTTGAAATTATTCTATTATCTCCTGTTGATAAAAAAGACTTATCAATAAATGTTGTCAATTGATAAAATTAACTTTTATCAATTGATAAAAAAATCATTCTTTTCCAAAGACTAAATTTACTTTATGCTTTTCTGTAAGGAATCTTACCCCATCTTAGAATCACAAAGATAGTCACCTATATTTCCTTCTAAAAGAGAGTTTTGCTCTTTCCCTGTGGTTCTCTGATCCACCTGGAACTTATTTTTGTGTGTGGTGAAAATCAGGGGCTTAGTTCCATTTTTCCATGCGTATATATAATTGATTGTCTCAGTACCATTTACTGATAACCCATGCCTTCCCTCTTGGTTTGCAGTGTCACTCTACCATACAAGAAGTGTCTATATATTTGTAAGTTGGCTTCTGTCATTTATACTCTTTTCTATTGGTCTGTTTATCTTCCCTGTCCCAAAACGATGGTGACTTTCTCCTAAAGATTTTTGAGAACTGATCACGATGGCACATGCCTATAATCCCAGTGGCTTGGGAGACTAAGGCAGGAGGACAGCAAATTCAAAGCCAGCCTAACAACTTAGTGAGTCCCTAGAGACCCTGTCTCAAAATAAAATAAAAAATAAAAAGAGCTGGGGATGTGGCTCAGTGGATAAGTGCCCTGGGTGTTCAATTCCTGGTACAAAAAAAAAACAAAAAAAAAAACCCTATTTATTAAAAATCCTAGTTCTGCTATAACAGGGACCCTACTTAGTGATTCTTTAGGAGTTCTGGACTATTCCTGGCCCTCTGCTCTTTAAAAAAAAAAAATTAAGCAGGCATTGAACCCAGGGGCACTTAACCACTGAGCCACATCCCCAACCCTTTATAATATTTTATCTTGAGACACAGTCTTGCTGAGTTGCTTAGGGTCTTGCTAAGTTGCTGAGGCTGGCTTTGAACCTGTGATTCTCCTGCTTCAAGCCTCCCGAGCCACTGGGATTATAAGATGTGCCACTGTGCCGAGCATCTAAAGTTGTTAAAGTTCCATTAAAAAAGAAGTTGGTGTTTTTATTACAGCTACACTGAATTTATTTATTTATTTTTTTAAATTAATTAATTTATTTATTTTATTTTTTTAATTTATTTTTTTTATTGGTTGTTGAAAACATTATAAAGCTCTTGACATATCATATTTCATACATTAGATTCAAGTTGGTTATGAACTCCCAATTTTACCCCAAATACAGATTGCAGAATCACATCGGTTACACATCCACATTTTTACATAATGCCCTATTAGTAACTGTTGTATTCTGCTACCTTTCCTATCCTCTACTATCCCCCCTCCCTCCCCTCCCATCTTCTCTCTACACTGAATTTATTGATTAATGTGGGAAGAACTAACCGACTCCTTCAGGACAATGTCTCTTTTTATCCTTAAGTATAGAATAGCTAGGTGTTTTTCATTAATTTAAGATTTCCCTAATGATTTGAAGTAAGTTTTATACTGTTCTCCATAAAGATCTTGCCCACTTTCTTGTAAGACTTATTTCTAGGTAATCAATTAAAATATTATAAATGAATTACTCTTTAAATTCACTTCTTAAGTGTTTGCTGCTGGTGTGTGTAAATGTAAGTATCAGCAACCTTGCTGAACCCTCTCACTTGTTCTAATAACTCATCTGTATGCTGACTTGGATTCTCATGAAAATAATACATCATCTGCAAATAATGACCATTTTGTTTATTTCCAATTCTTGCCTATTTTTTCCTCTGGCCTTATTTTAGCGGCTAAGATCTGAAGTACATGTTGAATAGAGGTGATGATAGTGCAGGTCCTTATCTTGTTCCTGATTTTAAAGTAAATATTTTCAAAGTTTCTCAGTTAAGAATAATATTTTGGGCTGGGGCTGTGGCTCAGTGATAGAGCACTTGCCTAGGATTCGATTCTCAACACCACATATAAATAAATTAACAAAAAAATAAAGGTTCATTGACAATTTAAAAAATAATAAAAAAAAGAATAATGTTTTCTCTGTTGGGTAGATAGATAGCCTTTTTCACCTTAAGAACTGCCCTCAGAGTTTCAGTTGGCTATACCTTTTGCATGAAGGATATTGAGCTTGTGTCCAGTGCCTTCTGCCTGCTCTGCCTCAGGGAGCAGGCCAGAGGCATTTAACCCAGGGACCCTGCCACAAAGAACCCAAGTCCCCACTGGGGAGGCTGAGCCTCACACATACATCTCTTGGCGCATGGGTGACTGAATGCAGAGGCTGCAGTGTGACAGAATATGGTCGGAGGACAGGGCAGTGCCTGACAGCTGAGGCTTCATGGAGAGGCAGGACTTGAGCTGGACCAGAGGGTTTTCCAGGCTATGGGGGAGAAGGGCCTTTGAAGAGGAAGGAAGAGCTGGAAACATGCCCAGTGGTGTGGCCAGAGAGCTGGGGCTTGCAGAGTAGGACTGTTGGCCATCTTGCTAGGGATGGGCCTGCTTTCTCCCTCAGACACCTGCACTGCACCCGGAACTACATCCACCTGAACCTGTTTGCATCCTTCATCCTGCGAGCGCTGTCCGTCTTCATCAAGGACGCGGCCCTCAAGTGGATGTACAGCACAGCCGCCCAGCAGCACCAGTGGGACGGGCTCCTCTCCTACCAGGTGTGTCCTGTGCCCAGGAGGCGCCTGGGGGGTGGTGGCAGATGGTTGGTGAAGCCCTGCTCCTCCCACTCCAATTAGGCCTGGGACAGGAGAGGCAAGAGCTGCCCGGGCTTGGCCCTCAGGGAGCCCTAGTCCCGTGGGAGAGGCAATCCCCTTTGGGACCTTCCATTCCAATGAGAGAGGAGTCTCACCAGCGACTCCAGTCTCAGGGTGAAGGCCCTGTCCCCGGGGGTTCTCAATCTGACCAAAGAGAGCCGTCTGCCCCTGGGAGCTGTGTCATCAACCCCTGTGAGGTTGCTTCTCCCCTCATGGGGGTGACATCACGGTGCTTCCTTCCCTGAGGGAGGGCGGCTCCCTGAGGTAAGGCAGACCTTCCTGGCACAGCCCTGGCCATAGGATGTGAGCGCCCTCATCCCGCATGACCATGGCAGGCCAGCAGCTGGGGCGGACAGGGAAGGGTAGCAACGGCCTAGCAGGAGGCAGGGCTGCCATCTCACCAGGTCCTTCCCCTGCCCCCAGGACTCTCTGGGCTGCCGCCTGGTGTTCCTACTCATGCAGTACTGCGTGGCGGCCAACTACTACTGGCTGCTGGTGGAGGGCGTCTACCTGTACACCCTGCTGGCCTTCTCCGTCTTCTCGGAGCAGCGCATCTTCAGGGTCTACCTGAGCGTAGGCTGGGGTAAGGCCTACCATCATGTCATGTCACTGACCTCACCAGACCCCCACCTGGACCTGCCGCATGGGGGTGGGAGACCCTGATGCCCCTCCCAACTTGGTGCCCAGAACACCCTGCCAGGCCAAGGGGCAGAGCCCACCGATTAGTCCTGAGCACAGGACCTTTCGCTGAGGGGATCACTGGGCACCGCAGGGGGTTACGGGTCTCACTCCACGACATACCTGTTGTGTAACTGTCCTCCCATAATGGAAATCTCCAACCCCCTGGCCAAATACCACCTCTACCACAACCATATAGCCACGGAGGACATGGCCCTGTCCACAAACCCCTGCTTCTGAGGTCCTGTGGGGAAGGACCTCCACACCAGGCCACGGCAGCCCTTGGCTCTGAGGGCAGTGGTGAGTCCTGGCTCGAGGAGGAGTGGTCAGGAGGATGGGGCCTGAGGGGACAGGGTTCTGTCTCATGGTGATGAAGAGGCAGGTCAGAGGAGAGCCCAGGAAGCGGGTGGACCACGGATGTGCCTGGAGCCCAGCCAGAAATGTCCTAGCCAAAAAAGTTTGCCAAGAACCATCGTGTCTCTTTTTTTTTTTGCTGGAACATTTCTGGTTGTGCTTCTGCCTCTCGCCACGCGGGATAGTGATGAGGGGCCCGTTGGAGTTCCGCGGGGGGCTAGGAGCTCTGCACCACCAGCAAAGCCTGTGTCATCCCTTCCTGGAGGAGCCCACAGGCACCACCGGGGACGGAGCCCAGAGTAGGCCCTGCCCACTGACCCCCCAATCTGCCGTGGACTCTGCATGTCTGGCCTCCTCATACCTCACCACCTCCCACGCTCGACTGTCCATTGGCCCTTCGTGCTGCCAGCCCTGTCTTCTGGAAGCTTCCTCAGGCTGCTGGGCCCTCAGAGCTCTGCCCTCCCCAGCCCTCAGCCTCCTGTTCTGTCCTCACGTGGCATTCATTTTTTCTGGTGTGCCTCAGCTCCATCCTAGAAGAGACGCTCCGGAGAGGTTTTAGTGTGACCAGTGTCTTACAGACACCAAAACCTAGAGCGGGACAGGGCCTTAGAAGAAGAGCAGGCACTGTAGCCCGTCTCCCAGCTCCTGGGACACCTGCAAGGGGGCTTGGCTGGTGCTCCAGCTCTTCAGTGTTCTACAGGCCCCTCAGCAGGATCAGGCCTCTGGACAGGTGGCAGTAGGCCTGACTTCCCAGTGCAGATCCCTGCCCCTCCCTCCACCTCCTCCCCCAGGACCCTCCCACCTGCACCCAGGAGGCCCTTCCTCGCCTCCCAGCCTTCTTCATCCTGCCTGGCAGTCCATCAGGCAGCTGAAGAGCCCTGCAGCTCCCTGGGTTGGGGAGGAGGCAGGTCATTGAGGGCTGCTCAGGCAAGGCTGTCCTCAGGGTGGGGGACCATGCCTGTTCATTCTGGGAAATAGCATCAGTGCTGTTAGTGCCTGTCACCATAGCGACCTGAAGGCAGGACCAATCAAAGGGATGGTGTGGTGTGCAGCAGAGCAGGGAGGCTGGTGGGGCTGGTGGGGATACACGGGTGCCTTGGAGGTCTCTGGGTGGGCGGTGGGGGAAGGGGCCTTTTTCCTGCCACCTCACATCCTAGCTCGGGGCTCAGGGTCTGTGGAGAATGAGGGCAGGACCAGGGAGATGCCCTCCCCAACCAAAGAATGTCTTCTACTTGAGGACCTGGAGTAGGGAGAGGCAGAGAGAGACAAGCCAGCCGAACAGAGTGGGGGCGGGGGGGGGGCAGGATTCACAGGGACCTTAGGGCTCTGTCGTGATGCCAGGAGGCCCGGTCCAAATTAGGATGCTCAGGAACAACTTTAGGCATCCTGTACAAGCAGAATCAGAACTAGGACTCCAGTGCAGTTGGGCCGAACCCCCAAAAGACAAGTCAACCTCTGTCACGGTCCATGAGTGGTTGGGTACCCCTGGAAACGGCAGGGGAAGGAAGGCCAGTGAGGGAGGAGGGGAACATCACTTCTCAGAGCTGGTTCTCTGTGTCTTAATTTGACCTTTCTGTCCCCCACCCCGTCTGACTTGGTTTCTAAATGGGAGAGTGAGTTGGCCATCCTGGACTGGGCAGTTTTGCGTGTAGCAGGGTTGTGCTCTTGCTTTTCAAAAGGCTTTGTTTGGGAGATGGTAATGGAGGCATGAAGCTCTCCCTGGCTGAGAACATGAGTGAGCTCCCCCATCCTGGAGCAGGGTCTCAGAGGGAAGGGACAGCAGGTGGCTGGAGATGCCCAACAGGAAGTTTCTGTCTGTGTGTTTGACTCAGGGAGGGGGCCTGTTCTGGCCTGGAGAGCTTCCCTCCCCTCCTTGGTGTGTTGACTCATTCATTCATTGGTCCTGTTTTTACTGAACAGCTTCTTCGCAGTAGGGCCCACACTCTGTTCTGGGACTGTTCGAAGTCATCCACTTCCTGTCCAGTCTCACGCAGGTCTATTTTTATGTCATTGTGGATACTGAGGGTCTGGTTTGTGTAAATGTAAATGGGCCAGGAGAAAGAGACCCGGTGAAGAGAGTGTTCCATCCTCCCTCCGCCTGCGTCATCAGGCACATTGGCCCCGGGCACATGAGCCGCTGAGTAGCTGCTGTTGTGTGGACACCAACAAGTTGAGGATGTTGATGATGTGGTGGCTCTGAGGAGGTTCTGCCCCGGAAAGGTGCTCCTGGGGGAGACCCCTAAAAGCCACACATGCACATGCAAGGACCCTACCCCACACACCCATCCATGTCCACACACTTCACCCTCCAAAGCCTTACCCATCGCAGATGCCCACGTGTCCAACTCGAGAGCTGCATTGGTAGAGACAGGCATGGAGAGAGTGGTGCAGAAAGTCTGGAGGGTGATCAGAGTGGGTGGGAGATTGCAGCCCTGGATTCTGGTCCCACTGTGTGCTTCTGAGCTCCTGATCCATCTCTTTGTCACCTAAGAGTGGATAATCCAATGTTCAATTAACCAAGACAGATTAAGCTGCAGAACTAGAAACTGATCTATTAGTTATCTACTGGTATGTAACTAATGGATATAGACCAAGTTTAGCTGCTTAAAGCAACAAGCATTTATCATCTCACAGTCTCTATGCTCAGGAATCTAGGCTTAACTTACCTGGGTACCCCTGGCCCAGGATTGCTGACTGAGATTGGTTAAGCTGAAGGTCCTGGTTGCTGTCATCTCAAAGCTTAACCAGGGGTGGAGAAGCCACTTTGAAGCTCATTCAGGAGGCTGTTGGCAGGAAGCCTCATTCCTTGCTGCGGGAGCCTCTCTGCAGGTCATCTGAGTGCCCTCGTGGGTGACAACTGATTTCCCTACAGTAAATGATGAGAGAAAGAGAGAGCCCCAGGTGAGATGCAGAGTTTTTTATAACCTAATCTCAAAAGTGACACACCATCACTCTTGCCCTATGTGATTTGTCACACAAAACAATCCTGATATAGTGGGATTATCCAAGGCTATGAATACCATGAGGTAAGAATCACCGGGTGACATCTACCACACCAGTCCGTCTCAGCTGGATTAGCTTTGCATGACTATAATGGAATACCTGAGACAATTAACTTATAAAGAGAAAAGGGTTATTTAGCTCATATTTCTGTAGTTTCCAGTCCAGGATTGGACAGAGCCATTGCTTTGGGCCTTTGGTAGGGGTCCTAGATGGCAATGGAAGGACCCACGTGGCTGAGCAAGCAGCTCATCTCCTGGCCAGGAAGTCAAAGGGAGAGGCTAGGCAGGCAGGGATCCCCAAATCCCCCAGTGACCTAAGGACTTCCTCCAAGGCCCCACCTCTTACAGGTCCCACCACTTCCCATGAGCACCACCCGGGAACCTTGGGGAGTGCTTACCCACGTTACGCACTCGGCCAAGCAGAGGGGTCTCACTGCTGTTGGGGCTGTTGTTGTTGAAGGCTGCAGGCACTCAGTGGGCATGTTGGTGTCCAGCACAGGGCCTCCGTCTCTCCTCCAGGCTTCCGCCCTGAGCAGAGAATGGGCAAAGGGAACAAAACACTGAAGGGACTTCGGGTGTCTGAAGGGGGAGACTGAGTGGTGTGTAGGATGAACTGAGGACAAGAGCATCAGAGAGCGTCCCTTCCCCGTCCAGCACGTCCTCCCCACTGCACAGCCCTGTCCCCTGCTGAGTGGGTGTCCATGTCCCAGTGTCTCTGCCAGGATCCTGGGAGCAAGTCCTGACAGAGTGCCTGGTGTGGGGGAGGGCTGAACTGTGAGGACCTCTCTAAGGGAGAGTGTGGGGCATCAGTGTGGGGTTCCTGCTGTGCCTCGGGTCTCCTGTGCACCCAGGCCCCCTTAGAAACGTGGTTTGGGGCCAGACAAGCAGAGGGGGTTGGGGTGGGAAGAGCCGGCTGAGGCGGGGCTCATGCATGGCCGTGGGCATGCATGGCAATAGTTGTGGTCTGCCAGCCTCTGTCCCCTCTCTCTCCCCCTCTCTCCTCTCAGGTGTTCCCCTGCTGTTTGTCATCCCCTGGGGCATCGTCAAGTACCTCTATGAGGACGAGGGGTGAGTGTCCTGTGCCAAGCGCATGGATGTGCTAAGATCCCCATCCTCAAAGTCCACTGGATTCCTTGGGCCCTGGGGATATGGGAGGATAAACAGAGGGACCAGGAGCTTAACATTTTGAATGCAATTCTCAAATCCCTGCTCTGGCCCCTGCCCGTGGTTGGTGTGATAACAAATGGTGCAGATCCGTGGGGCACATGGTTCCTTCCTGCAGGATTTTTTTGTATGTCTGTGAGTGAATGTCTGTTATTTTGTGTATGATGCTGGGTACACACAGGATTGTGTTCACGGGGCCATGAATACTTGTTGGGGACTCTGGGTATCTCCCTTTGTGTGACCATGTATTTGGGACTCTGTGTGTATGGGTGACTGTGTGGCCACATGTATCTGTGGCACCTGAGATCAGCTGGATGCATCGTGTGCCTCCCCCCTTCCCCCAGCTGCTGGACCAGGAACTCCAACATGAACTACTGGCTCATTATCCGACTGCCCATCCTTTTTGCCATTGGGGTGAGTGATGGTGTGTAGGGGGGTAGGCGTGGGAGCTATGGTGGGCTGGAGCCAGGGCAAGGGTGCAAGGAGGGTCCCCAGCCACCTGCCCATGTGCTCCACAGGTCAACTTCTTCATCTTTGTCCGGGTCATCTGCATCGTGGTGTCCAAACTGAAGGCCAATCTCATGTGCAAGACAGACATCAAATGCAGGTGACCTCACCAAGCTGGCTTTGTTGGGGCCCCTCAGCCCTCGCTTCTAGCAGAGAGATACGGGGACGCTTAGTTAGGAGGGCGAGTTAGGGTTAGGAATCGCTTCTCCCACCCAGGCCTGACCTTGGAGCCCCAAACCTTTCCCTCACCTTGTCCTTGGGCAGCCCCTGGGCTTTGCAGGGGGTTGGGAGGGCAGGAGTAACCATGACCCAGATGCCAGGTCCTGGCAGGAAGAGGGGAGGGCACAGATGGAGGAAAGAATTGGTGTGCAAGGTCCAGAATAACTCCAGAGGTCTCCCCTTCCCCCAGACTTGCCAAGTCCACACTGACGCTCATCCCCCTGCTGGGGACCCACGAGGTCATCTTTGCCTTCGTGATGGACGAACATGCCCGGGGAACCCTGCGCTTCATCAAGCTGTTCACAGAGCTGTCCTTCACCTCTTTCCAGGTGACTCTCAGCTGGGAACTTCCAGAATGGGGGAGGGACAGACATAGCTTGCATCACGCAGGTGGGAAAAATGAGCAGGCCAAGGCCTGGGGGTGACCCCTGCCCAGAGTCACATGGTCAGATTAGAGCCAGAGCCAGTACCCCCAGCTGTCCTGACATGCTGGCCAGTTTTCTCTGTAAGCACATGGGACAAGAATCCTTCTCAGGCTGGGTGTGGTGGCTCATGCCTTTAATCCCAGTGGCTTGGGAGGCTGAGGCAGGAGGATGGCAAGTTCAAAGCCAGCCTCAGCAAAAGCGAGGCACTAAGCAACTCAGCGAGACCCTGTCTCTAAATAAAATACAAAAAAGGGCTGAGGGTGTGGCTCAGTGGTTGAGTGCCCCTGGGTTCAATCCCCAGTACCAAAAAAAAAAAAAAAGAATTCTTCTCAGATGTGATCCTGGGCACCCAGCCTGCCTCACAATTGCCATCTTCTTGAGTGGTGGGCACCGTACCATGTGCTTCATGCATGGGGCATTTAATCCTCCCAGAATGCAGTAACCCTCATTTGACAGAGGAGGAAACTGAGGCTCAAAAGTACTAAAACAAGAAGTAGCCTTCTACTACGTTTAGAAGCTGCTTCAGTGGTGTAACAATGTTACTGACCCCAGCCCCTCAGAGTGTTATAGGAGGCCTATAAGCACATGAGCCCACACGTGTGCATTTACATACATGTGCATGTGGGGACACACACAAGTGGAACACAGTTCTGGAGCACTGGGTCTTCTGAGAGGGCTGGGGTGGGAGAATTCTCCCTGTTTGGAGGTGCTATGCTTTCCTGCATCTGGCTTCCTCAGGAGAAAGGGTATTAGCACTTTTGCAGGTGTGAGCCAAGTTTGCCTCTTGTCCCTCCAGAAAGGGAGAGGAAGGAACCATGGTCAGTCCCTGGGTCTGCCTGGGCTGCCTGATTTGCGGAGGGGGATGTCAGGGCAGAAGCCTCAAGGCCCTTCCAACTAGGGCCTGCCACAGAGCCCCTGCCACCCTGCCCTCTGCTGACCTGCCTCTCATTTCCAGGGGCTGATGGTGGCCATCTTATACTGCTTTGTCAACAGCGAGGTAAGGTCTGAGGAGGGATGGGGGATCCCCTGGGCTGTACCACTGGCTGGTCTGGAGTTGTGCTATGGGGACTCCCATCAGTCTTTCCAGTGAAAACCCCCTACTCACCCCCTAGAGTCGAGGAAGGCTCTGGTCTGCAATTCAGTTCCATGCTTGGCTCACCTGTATACTTCTCTCATGTCCCTCCCCCCCTCCCCCCTTCTCTCCTGTCACTCCCCCCCTACCCCCTTCTCTCCTGTCACTATGAGAGCTTGGGGAGGATCCAGGGCCATGCAGGGGGTCCTGAGTGAATTACTAGGGTGGGGACTACTCTTTGTTCCAAGGTGATTCAACACACACATACTTGGGCTTTAGTAATCACTATCTCATTTAATTGCCACCCCTCTCCCCACTTAAAAAAAAAAAAAAAAGCCTGTCAAAATTCTGATTTCAACATTCCCAGTCCCCACCCCTGAGAACATTGGGTGAGAGTGTGCAGGAAAACTGCCCCAGGTTTGGCTTAGAAATTGTGGCAGAGCCGGCATTCAAGTGAATTCTGACTTACAGAAGAAAGCATCCTGTTCTTTCTATACACAGGCAAGAGCTCTGCCGCTCCCTGGGGAAGGGGAGACCTTCTGGGGCTGGGTGGCCTTCAGCACCCCATGGAGTGGGAGAAGAGGTTCTTGCTGACCCCACACCTGCAGAACCACAGCCCTCCTCCCTTTTACTTGGAGGTCCCTGGAGGAGGGGCATGTCTGTGGGCACATAGGAAAGGCCCCTCTGCCAAGGTTCCTGGGTTTTGTCAGAGCATAGAAATGTCCCCAGAGTCATCAAACTGAGCATCAGAAATGCCACAGCTTCTCCCCCTGCCAATCCCATCCAGAGGGGACAGTAGTCACAGGTGCAGCTCCAGGGCTCCTGGGGAAGTAGCCACAACACTGTTAGCCCTGGGCAGGGGTGGGGGCGACTCTCCACGCATAGTCTGGAAGGAAATACATGACTCTGTTAACTCCTGGGCCATTGAGGACACCGTGAGGGTTTGCGTCTGTGGGACTCAGGAGACCCAGGGACACTGGGCCTCAAAGACCTGGAGCTCTTCATGTGATTTCTGTGTCACTGAACCCGGGATTCCAGAGCTCAGAGATCTTAGTGCATTAATGTAGACGTGTCTTTGGCTACCAGTGTTGGGGATGAGCAAGGGACAGTAGATACTTCAGGGAACTGTGAATTGACCCAAAGAAGCCATGTGAGATAGCAGGAAAGAGGCACGGATGTGGGTTTCATGTCAGACCTCTGCTCCAACCCAGGCCCCGTCACTTAATGAGCTGCGTGACTTTGTCTGAACTTCCTCATCTACAAAATGATGAGGAAGGCTAGGATGCCCACCTCTGAGATTCCTGAGGATTAGGTAAATAAAGTCTGGAAAAGACAGGAAGGGGGAGCCAAGAATAGGGCCTTCCATCAAGGCCAGGCACTGAAGGCCCACCCTGGCTCCTCAGAGTTATTAATTGTCGTGAAGCAGTGTGTACCTCATCTCCTGATGCTCAGTAACGGGGAGCTAGTCCCTGTCATTCCAGTGCTCAGTGATTCCCAGAGACCAGGGCCTAGGACATTTCAGAGGACACTGCAGAGAAAATGAGACTGGGTGAAAGGGAGAGGGCATCTCCTGTCCCTGTGGCCTCCTCCAGCTTCCCCTGAACTGGCCTCCTAAGGGGCTGGAGTGGCCTTCCCATCTCCAAGTGCGGGGAAGCCAGTGTTTTCTATGGGCTTACTGCAGATAAGGTGCTCAGGTGCAGCCAACCCTGCACAGCAGGTGTGAGCCCCATTTTTCAGATGAGAAAATTAAGACTCAGCAAGGGGAAATGAGTAGCCCCAGTTCAACAGCTAGAAGGTGGAAGGGCCAGTGGGCTGGGGTTAGGGATCCCACTAACACTCAGGGCAGGTGGAGCTGGGGATGTGGAGGCAGCACCAGGTGAGAGGTGGGTCATAAATGGAATTCTGGCTGCTTCTGTGGGCAGGCCACGGAGGGCCCCCAGGTTCAATTTGGAGGGTGGTCCAGGAGGGAGGGTAATGAGGACACTCAGGGATCCATCTTGCAGGCTCTGGATCCACAGGACACAACAGCCCTGCTTCTTGCCCACAGCCCAGTCCTCGTGAGGAACTCCTTAGAAGCTGATGCAAATACTGGCATTCGAGGACCCCAGCTCCCCAGGGTGCCGTCCCTTCAGGGATGGTTCTCAGCCAGGGTGGTGGGTCCTGGCCTGCACTCTGGGCCTTCACATTTCAGCCTGGTAGTGAGATGGGGACAAGGACAGGGCAGCATGTATCCCTGTGTGGGGATGAGGAGCAAAGCCTGTGAGGAGAGACCGAGGTTCCCTACTGCCACCTTGTCACCTTCTCAGTCCCAAGTCCCACTTCTCCATCTTCTGTCCCCAAAGCCACCCTGTAGCAGCATGCTCACTGTAGCCCTGTCCCCATGCACAAGTGCTCAGCTACCCCACCACTGCTGCGGTCTCTCCTGGGCCCCCCAACTCAGCCCCATCTCCCCGCTCTACCCCTTAGAGCCCGGTCACCCAGTTCCCTCCCTCCTCACCCATCATCCACCACTGGCCCCACTGTGTAAGGAGGGCAGGATGGTCACACATCCGTGCTCTGCCCTTGGAAAGAACTTGACCCCGAATCCCCACGGTTGCACCTCTTTGGCAGGCCAGGCCCTGCTGGCCTCTCCCCTCAGGCTGTGTCACTCAGTGGGCCCGAGAGCCCCTCTCCCTTCAGGTCATCACCCAGTTCCTTTAAACCCACCCAGAGACTCCTCGTGCCCTGGTTCTTTTAGGTACAAGGACAGACACATCCCCATCACTGGGCCACAAAAGACACACGTGGTTGAAGCCTCTGCCCACAAGAGCTATTCTCCAGACCCAGGGTTGCCATGGCAATGCCAGGTACTCATGACTCGAGGAAAAAAGATGACTTGAGCATTGGCCCCGTGTGACTCTGAAGGCCTTTACCAACTACTTGTGGGCAGGAGTGGGGACAGGGAAGGGCCTGGAGATGATTTATCTGGAGGTCATGCCTGAGAGTCCAAGTGAGGTAACACGGGAGTCATGTGTCCTGATCCTGGCTCTGTCCTACCAAACTGTGTGACCCAGGGCAAGTCACCTTGCCTCCCTTGCCTCAAATCCCCAAGTGTAAATGGAAGTGGATGAGCTTTTCTGATTCACCCCAAATCCTGAGCCAGGCATGGTGCTTGGCTGGAGAGGGTGCTCGGAATATGTGCCCTGCACTTCAGAGCCCAGAGGGCAGGGAGGAGGGAAATCAAACGGTGCAGGAGGAAGTGCTGGGGCAGGTGTCCAGGACTGCTGTCCCTATTCTTTCTTTTTCATAACTGAGTAGCAGAAGGAACCTGGTGATAGAGGCCCATTTATTCACATGAGTTCCTCGGGCTCATTTAAAACACAGGGAGTGAGCACCCGCAGTCTCCCGGGTGGACTGTGCTCAGTGCAGAGATGCTGGGAGTCATGTGAAGTGGGGAAGAGCCACAGCCAGGGACAAGCAGGGCCTCCAGAACTGTGGCAGGCAGGAGGCCAAGGGTGAGGAGCCAGGGACTGGGGCCAGGCTGGATCTAAACTCAAATCCTACCCCCAGACACTGGGGAACGCTGAAATATTCTGCACTCCATTTCTTCGTCTTTACTTGGGGAATGAGAACAGGAGCTACTGTGTAGGGTTGATGAGAAAATTAACCAAGATAATCTATGAAAAATGCCGGGCATGTAGATGGTGGTTCTTAAGGACAGTTGTGATTACAGGGGTCACCGTGGAGGTTAAGAAAAAGTGCTGAGGACCGGGCGCGGTGGTGCATGCCTATAATACCAGCAGCTTGGGAGGCTGAGGCAGGAGGATTGTGAGTTCCAAGCCAGCCTCAGCAACTTAGCAAGGCCCTAGTAACCCTGTCTCTAAATAAAATACAAAAAAAAAAAAGGACTGGGGGTGTGGCTTATTGGTTGAGTGCCCCTGGGCTCAATCCCTGCTCCAGAGAGAGAGAGAGAGAGAGAGAGAGAGAGGGAGAGAGGGAGGGAGAGAGGGAGGAAGTGCTGAGGGAGATGGAGATAAGGAGATTGTGGCATGCTGGTACTGTTAAGTCCTGCTGGTGTCCCTGTGACCTCTTCAGTCTCTGAGGTGGGTTCCTGTGGGTGTGCCTCATTTCCCCATCTTTCTACCTCACTTCGTCAGAGGAGGGCTGTGAGGTAGGACTGGTCTTCTTGCAGCTGCACAAAGGGAGGCCACCATTGGTCTCGGGTGGGACCCAAGCTGGGGGTGGGGGCAGGGAGCCCTCCTTCCCTCCCCACCCAGGCCTGGGTTCTGGGTTGCTGCCTGGGATACCAACGCATCCTGGCAGGCAGGCTCTGGGCGATCTCAGCTCTACTCTGCACAGAAAAAGTTCTTTTAAGGGATGGCATGCAGCCACACCAGGCGTCATGCAGGCTTAGCTAGATGAATGACAAAGGAGGGGGAGAGGAGGGCTGTTTGCCCTGGGGCTGGGGAGGGGATTGGCAGAGAGCCCCTTACCCACAGCTTCTGGCAGCTGGCCCTCCTGGGGCCTTGGGACTGAGAGGAGCCTGGGTTCTAGGCTCTCCAGTGTGGGAAGGTGGGGTGCAGAGGCATCAAAGCAGCTCTGCAAAGCAAACTTATGGGAACACCACCCAGAAGAGCAGTCCAGTCCGGTCGGGATCAGCTGTGCAAGTTCCAGAAGCCGTCTCTGGGAACCACAGTTGGGGCCATAGCATTGCCACAAGCCCTTGAGGGGTTGGGGCTCCACCATGTTTCTGCCCCCAACAATCCATCTGGTTCCCAAACGTCAGCCCTCTTAAGAAGATGGTTCTTATGGGGAGGCCACAACCCAGCACAATGACGATTTTGGCTGACCGAGCTCAGCTGGGCTGGCTGCACCCCCAGACTCACCGCAGTCTCCCTGCACAGGATTGCACAGGCTGGGAAGCCCTGGTCCTCCCCTGGTCTCAGCCTCCTTGTTTCCTTTGCTCCTTCCTCCTGGGAGTCATGGTGGCTGGGTCAAAGCCCTCAGGGAGCTTAGAGGGTCTGCTGTAGACAGCTTGAGGGTCAGGGGGCACCATCCTCCTCCATCTCCCCTTCAGGCATCCTCGCTGCAGTGGGAGAGCATGTCCTGAAGTCAGATTCCCTCCTCTCCACTTCTCTCTCCCATCTCCTGTCTCCCGCACTTCTCTCTCCCTCCCATTCTCTTTCGTGAACTAATATTGTGATGGATTGTAAAAGGTACTTAGCCGGATCGCGGAGTTTAGAGATGGAAAAGACCAATTAGGTCATCAAGCCCATCTCTCTCCTGAAGAGCGGCAGAAAATAGGAGACAACAATAAACAATTTTATTGGGATATTAATTTAGGCGCCCGGAGGCCTTGACTTGTGTCTCTTAATATCATGCAGTGGATTTTTTCCCTTCCCTGCTAATGTAATAACGGGGCCATTTTGTGGACAGTGGGTTTGCATGATGGCTTTTGTTCCCCTCCTTTTCCCGAGGAAGGTCCAGATGGAGTTTCGGAAGAGCTGGGAGCGCTGGCGGCTCGAGCATTTGCACATCCAGAGGGACAGCAGCATGAAGCCCCTCAAGTGTCCCACCAGCAGCCTGAGCAGCGGGGCCACAGTGGGCAGCAGTGTGTATGCAGCCACCTGCCAGGCCTCCTGCAGCTGAGACCCCACACCACCCCTCCTGGGGTCCATGCTGCCCGCTGGATCATTACAGGTGGGAGAGACCCTCCCAGGGACAGGGGAAGGGACACATGCACACATACCTCCCTGCTTTCCCTCCCCAGACCCATCAGACGGGCAAATGGGCATTGCCTCCTGGGACCATGGACACATTTTCTCTGAGGAGAAGCAGCCTGCTAATTTGATCAGTGTGGCAGGAGGAGAGGAAAAACAATTGCTGGCCAGTCGAGGAGGATTTCTTCCTGTTAAAGCCACAAGGCCCTTGGGGTTCCCCCAGACAGAGCAGCAAATCAACCCCAGACTCAAACTCAAGGTCAATGGCTTATTAGTGGGATGGGGGCTTGCAAGGGGAGCTGGTTCTGAAAGATGCCAGTGTAACCTCAGCTGGACACAGAACTCATGTGAGCCAAGTCTGCTTCGTCCACCTGGGGTCGCCTCCCTCATCCGCCTCCTCATTAAGGGAAGCTCTTTGTGCATCTGGGTCACTTGTTTCCCTTGTCTGTCCCCTCATCTCACCACCCAGTTTCTCCCTGGCTTTGTTTGGGTCACTGGCAGCAGCTGTTTCTGGAAGTGACTGAGGGGTGTTGAGAATAAGCACTGAGAAGATGCCCGAAGACTCTTGTAGCTGGGCCCCCTTCTCCCCTGGGTATTTGAACTGCTTGATGCCTGCTTCTGCTGAACCCTGGGAACCAGGGCGGCTTACCCCCAAAGAGCCTTGCCCTGGGGTATGAGGTCCCCATTCTGTTCTAAAGATGTTCAAGGAACCTCTGGGGTTCAACTAGGGACACTTAAGGAATGTCCCACTGTGAGTGTAATGACCTGCCATTGCCGGGAATCCAGAGGGCTGAGAGATGTATTCCCTCACCTCCCCACCACCCCACCTCTCCACGGAAACGCTTTTTATCTGTGACCAGATTCTGTATCTTGACTGGGAGTTTGGGCACACCCTCTAACTTTAGGGATGTGACCAAGAAGAGACTCTTTTAGGGAAACTAAGGTCCCCATCGTTACCCTGGAAAGGCAGGCTCCCTCTCTGCCTTTCAAATTCCCCCATTTGAGAGCTTGAATATACTTTATGTATTTTTCTTTAATGGCTGTGAATAGACTCCATGTGCCAGTCCTGATTTCTCCCACCCAGTGGAAATGAGAACTACAACCTGGTGGCTGTGATGATGTCTGGGGGAGTGGGGTAGTAGTTGATTTGACTCCCCCACACTTTGAGCTAATTAATGTTCACCTGCCTCCAGCCTCATCCCATCGGGCTGTGCTGAGAAAGCAGACCCCAGACTAAAAGGGGGATAGCCATCCTAGGGATGTGGGCAATGGATATACGGAAGCAAAGGAAGCTGCCAGAGCAGGAGAGAACTCCTGGGAGTCTGGGTCCCTGCAAGGGCAGAGGGAGACGCTTTGGATGCATTCCCTTGTGAACTGATCTCTTCTTCCTCCTGTTTCAATGGTGGGGGACCCTCCCCAAAGTTTACACCAGACACATTCTTCTGTGCCCCTCAGAGAGGCATGTGACATGCAGGGGAAATAATGGGACATAAAACACATCAAGCAGAAAATTTCTTATACTTCAGCTTCAGTGGAGTGTTGTGTCTATGTTAATAGGGAAGTGGAACCTCAGGCTAAAGAAAGGAGCCTTGCAGACAGACCACGTCCTGGACCCAGACAGCGGGGTAGGGGAGGGCTTTCTGCTACCCCGGAACCAGGGCGGGCTTCTAGTGTGACCCTGACTTGCTTCCTCTCAGGGAGATGAGCAGCTCTGGTGCAGGTATTTCAGCTTGGGATAAATTGGATGATTTTTGAGAATCATTATTACACAGCCACAAAGAAAAAGATTGATAAAATCTGCCTGAAATACGTTGTTGAGGGAAGAGGTTGTGGGGGAGAAAAGGGTGAGTAGTTAAGGAAGCTCAGACAATTTAATTTAAACTGTAAGTGGAGTTCTTTCCCCAGCTGGACCTGGTGATTCCTGGCTTCAGGAGGCTTATCACACCCCCACCCCAAGGCTGTTAACGGTGAGGAAGTTTTGGGTTGTTTTTTTTTCCACAAATGCATACTAGATACCAAACTGCAGAATGTTTTTCCTTGTTCCAAGACCCTGTAGTATTTCTTAATATTCATTTGAATGGCACTGCACGCCCTCTGAGCCATTCCCAAACTTGCCTATGCTAAATATAGCTCCAACAGGTCTGGGAACCATCGAATGCAATGTACTCTGAAATTCCATGGGTTGTTTACATGCCTGCTGCCATAGTCTAAGTTTGGCACTTGCTGAGAACTCTCCTGCCTGCCTCTGTCCTGGGGGGGACTATTGCTGACCAGCAGGCGTCCCGCTGGCTTTGAGTGGCTCAGCTGTGAATGGTGGCCAGCTTCAGCACTCCGGCCAGCTCCCACAAACTTGGGAGGGGCTTATGTCCGTCAACAACTCTTGGCCATTTCTGTCTTTGAGCAGCTAAATGACGAACTGCACAGCCAATGACACTGCAAAGTTGCCTTCTTTTAAAAAATGACTCTGGATTTCAGGCATGGCTTTGATGGCCTCAGGCACCTCCCACCGAACACCACATTCCTGGAACTCTGGAAGACTCAGGACAGGAAAGATGTCGAGGAGCCCTCCTGGCGGGATCTCTAGAAGTGAGGAATGAGGCTTGTGGAGGTGACTTGTCTGAGGCCACAGCACCAGCTGCTTAGCCCAGTGAGGCCTCTGAGAAGAAAGAACTGGTGCCGAATACAAATGGCTTTTCAACATCTACTAAGTAAAAGCAGTGTTATCTGGAATTTCTGCCGAGGAGGGAACAGCAGCCAAGGTAGAACAGGTCAGACAGTGACAGTGTCATCCCCTCTGTGACTCACACTGGTGAGAGGAGGGGAAGGGTGTGCTTAGAGGATTCTGCGCCTTACCTCATTCATCCTTGTCTTTCAATGAAGGAATGCATGGAAACAGCATGTGAGCTCTTCGAATAGCAAATCCAGCACCCTTCATGTGCTGGCTTTTTTTTTTCCTGATGCATCTGTGTTTGTTTGAAAAGTTGTATTTATGGTCACACTAAAAATTAGCCTAAAAGAAGGGCTCGACCCTCCACTTTGCCTCCATAGTACCCCCCTGATTTCAGAAAAGACCAGCAAACGGGGCAATTGTAGCCTAGCAAAGATGGCACAATGCCACCAAGGGCAGAGTCAGTTCCCCTCCGTGCCCTGAAAGCTTGGTTGCTGTCATGAGTGCTGGCCGTGTTTCAGCAGCTCACAGTAGGAGACCTCCCCTCCCTTCTCACCCCCCTGTCTCTTTCTTCCACCAGGAAAGAGCATTGTGTGTGTGTGTGTGTGTGTGTGTGTGTCCTGTGCACAGCAGCATGAAGTTAGGAGATGACGAATCCAGAATCATTGTCCCCACTGTGAAGGTCAGGGGGCTGCAGAGCCAGGGCAGGGATGGCTGGGAGTCTAAGTGGCAGATGCTTCCTCTCCATGCGCAGACAGGGCTCCCATTATTGCTAATGCCTGCGACGTGCTCAGGGAAGGTAAAATATATTCCAAAGGTTTATTTTCCCTCTGCTGAATTGATTCTAATCTACAGTACTGACCCCGCTTTTGGATCTTAGGAGGGAAACTATAAAAAACATCATCAAATAAAATACGTAGGCTTACTCTGCTAAGACAGTTATATGAATGGCATGCTTAAATATTCAACAGAAGTGAAATTAGTAACAACTTTAAAAAAAATTCCTTTTTGTGGCTGGAGTGAATTCCCTTGGGACAGAAAATGGCCCGATGTGGGAAACTTCTGCAGATATCACCATGTCCCTCCATTGCTATCTACTAGCCTAAATCCACTCTCTGCTCCTGAAAGCAATGTTAAGCAGTACAATTTCAAACACTTTATTTAATGCCACAGTGGGTCTACAGTATCTGTGATGGCTTTTGTTCTGTCAATGGATACAGACTGACAGGAAGCAGACAAACATAATTGTTTTCTAATAACTTTCCGACTCTCTTGTGCTTGGCCTCTATCTGAATTGCTTAGAGGGCAGAGATCTCTCTCCTCCTCTTTGGCCATATTAGCTACTGTTTGGGGGACCTTATCTAGCAGTGGCTGTGTTTTCCCCCAATGCATCCAACCTTGCTCACTGCACTCCTCCCCCACCCTCTGCTGCCTCAGGAAGAGATGACCCTGCTGGTCATACTGCCAATGCCATTCTCTGAGCCGTGACCAATTTAAGGGTGCAGCTGAGAGCAAGGCACCGCCAGGGCTCAGAATTACACGGCACATTGTACGCTCTGGGACCAGGAGGAGCACTGCAGCCAGTGGCCTGGATCCTGACTTACACCAAGGAGATGCAGCTTTCCCCGGGGCCTGTCAAACCATCAGTAATTAGTCAACATGGACAATCTTGCATGACTATTATTGTGTCAGAGCAATCCAGGCAAAGAAAACATGGACAAATGAGAATTGTGTGAGAAAAGAGCCCCCACCGTAGATCAGACCAAATAACAATTTCTGATCTTGGTTTCTTTGCTTGGGAGCCACTGGAGCCGTTGAGGAAAAGGCCCGCTTTGCCTTAGATGGGGATTGAACTTGCCCAAATGGGTCACATTTTACTTTCAAACCTGCAGGTGTCCTAACTCCCTTCCCGCTAAGAATCATCAGCACATCCTTAAAGCAGATGCACTTCTAGATCCCATTAGTTTGGGAGGGTTGTGACACAGATCTATTTTTTAAATAAATGCCTAGAGAGAGGTGAGCCAGGCTCTCATGAGAGACCGAGCTAAATTTCTATCTCCCGTGCTTGTGGGGGATGTTTGTTCTTCATGAATGTTTAAACAAGATCATTTTCATGCAATTTCTTAATGCATAAATTCGTGTAAAATATGGCCTGCATCGGTAGGTAGCGCATGTGTGTGGTGTATAATTTCTTGTATACAGAGGTGAATGGATGCGAGTTCTTTCCTAATTTGCCTTGTAAGTCAAATAAAAGCCTGTCACTATTATGTGTCTCTTGCCCTTCCTTTGGGAGAGGAGATTTTCTGCAGTGTCAACCCAGGTGACTCATAGTGCAGTGGGAAAACACAAAAGATGCCGACTCCAGCCCAGGGGGGGAGAAACATCCCTTGTTCATTTTTCATATCATGATTTTCATCTTCAAAGCACTTACCAAGTACTAATTTATCCACTGCAGCCTTTATACAGAGACTACAGTGTCATTTAATTAGAGAAGTTGGGTGGTCGAGTGGCTTAGACAATGACTGATGGCCAAATGGATGTGTATTCTAATTCCGCTCATTCATTTGATCTCCCCTGTCTAAATGAACTCCGTCCATTAAATCCATTTTTTAAAAAATGTCATAAAAGCACAAGCTTTGTTTGCAAAGCAGCCCCGGGATGTGAATGGAGCTGCTGTTGAGAGAGTCATCTTCAGGAAAATAAACTTTTCTCCAATTTAAATAATCGCTCACTCCAGGGATTTGCAGCTCACTCTAATAGGAGAGCAGAGGAATCGCAGATTCTCCCTAATTCTTCCACTGTTTTGGTTGCCCCTGTGTGAAGATTAATGTACTTATCCTAAGGTGTCGTCAAATACCCACCCCCACTTTTTTAGATAAATTGTGGTCGTTGTCTGTTTCGGTCCTAAGAAGCCTTACTCTGAGAGCAAGTTACACAATCAGTCAGTTCCTGATACCTGTGGGCAAAATATCTGCATTTTGATTTCTCTGCACCGATGTAGCTTTCAACTCTATCCACTCACCGATGGATATTCTCACCTTTGTGTGTCCTTCCTCTGCTGCTCTGCGTGAGCAAATGGAGGCTTCTCTCCCTCACCTCCCAGGAAGACACCTGTCCAAGCCAAGTAATGACCACTCATTTCTAGGGAAGTATCCACCAGACAGAAGTACCCCCTCGCCTTCTGGGGTGTGCTTTGATTTGGGAGGGCTTACTGCCAGCCTAAAGAAAGGGCACAGGGAGCCGGCTGCCCTGCTGTGCTGAGGCCCAGCGCCAAGGTTCCAGTGAGCATTCTTGGCCTCCAGACCCATGTCACGTGCAAGATAAAGCACAGTCCAGTGACTGCTGCCCCGCTGATAGGATGACAGCTCCCCACAGAATGGATGAAGGTGCTTGATTGTGCCATGCACAGCAGCATCCCGAGGGGAGGGACCCTGTTATGGTGTGAATATGAGATGTCCCCCAAAAGTTCCTGTGTTCATGCAGGAAAAGTCAGAGATAAAGTGATTCGATGAGGAGAGCCATAACCTAATCAGGTTGTCCTAGTTTGAATGGACTGACTGGGTAGTAGCTGTGAGGTGCTGTTGGAGGAGGTGGGTCCTCAGGGGTGTGCCTAGAAGGGCACATCCTCCCTGCGGCCCTTTCTCCCCATCCCCTGTCCCCTATTCCTTGCTGCCGTGGATGGAGCAGCATCCTCCACCAGGCCATTCTGCCATGACATCCTGCTCACCTTGGGCCCAGAGCGATGGAGTCGGCCACCTAGGGACTGAGCCTCTGAAACCGTGAGCCCCAAATAAACTTTCTCTTCTGTGAGTTGGTCTTGTGGAGTATTTTGTTCACAGTAATGAAAAAGTTGATTAAAATAGAGCCCCCCCCCCTTCTCAAAGCCCTGGGCCATGATCGTGGGCCATTGAGGCTTTTTCATTCTGTCTGTCTTTTCCTGTGTCCTTCCTTCCTTCCCTTTTTCCCTCCTTCCCTACCTATTCTCCCCAACACACACAGAGAAAGAGAAAGACGGAGACCAGTGGGGTTTCCCTTGTCAGAAATAGTGCTGGGGGGTGGGGTGGGGGGAACAAGCCAGCAGCACAGCCTGGACCAGGGAACCCGGCAGCCAGGCGGCGGAGAAGATGTGAAAACAGACCCAACACCGTGCCAGACAACGACAGAAGAGAAACTGAGTGTCCCGGAAGCTGGGAAGGGTGGGTGGGGAAGGGATGATGAGAGGCCAAAGCTCAGCAGATAAAGGGAAAACAGCAGATTGTTAAATGTGACAAAAGAGCTGCAGGAAAAGAGGACATTTCAGAGATGGAAAAAGAGAATTACAAGTGGCAAGTGACTGTGAACCAGGTAAGGAGCGCTGCCTCGGGTCAATGTCATTAACTCCTCCTTCCATAAATTTGAGCTCTTCCCCTGTAGAGTCCTCTAATCCCAAGCATGATGGATCTTTTTCCCTTTGGTACAAAGGCTTATTTTAACTAACACAGTGATTCTAGAAGGAGAACAAGACCCACAGCTAGAGTAAATCCAACAAAACCTTTACTTTTTTCCCCACTGACACCAGGCACCAGTGTCAGAATGAATTGTATGCCCCCCCTCCTCGTGTAGGGCCACAGACCTCAGAATTTATCTGTGGTCCAACTTCCAACCAAGAATTCAATCAATAGCTGAGAATTACAAGCGGGAGCAGTCCCTGGCCAAGAGATGGATTACCTGGGGCTAAAGGTAACACCCAGAGAGATTGGCAGGCAGTTTTGTTTTGTGCTTTTTTTTTCTTTCTCTCTTAACTTTCCGAATCTCCAGGGTAAATAAACAAGGACTTGAGGCAGTAAATGATGTTTACAGATGGCTCTTCGATTCCAATGACCTAAGGTGGCATTAAAAGAAACACAATCAGGACTTGGGAACATGACTATACAAATCTAAAGGCTCCAATGAAACGGCCATGCCTTTCAGTTAGGTCAGATTTTTAACGATCTATGACCATTATGTGTGATTCTAGCTAAAGAGGCAGATGTTTTGCCACCAGATTTTTGCCCTTTGGAAAGTTTTAGGACCTTCAAAATTCCTGAATTCTGTTTTAATGAGCTCCCCACCAATTAGATGCCACTTGACAACGAAACCACCCTCAAGCTGTTTCATCTTCAATCCTGGCGTGGGAAGTGGAAACTGGAAAACCAAACACCTTGGCAAAGCCAGCTTACCTCACTCGGGTCAAACTAAACCAATGTCCTTGTGACGATACTGTTTGGAAAGGTACCATTAAAAATACAGATGAAAAGATATCTCCAGGCAGAGATATCAAAATTGTGTTGAAATATTCTCACTGATCAAGAAAAAACGTCTGTAACATCAATGTGTCATGAGGTTTTAACAAAAACACTGTCTACTAGAAATCAGTAAAGATCATGAAGCCTGCCAACCATAGCATGGTGGTGATACAGTCCAGAAAAGATGCCACATCCACCGAGTCTCAGAATCAGCTGCAGGCAGCTCCCTCACACCCCTGTCCTGGCCTTGAACTCTGCCTCTTCCTGGATGCAGGCAGGAGAGGCACTGGGCTCTCAAGCTACCTTGCTGAAGTAGTCTTGGTGTCCAGCCTCTCATGAGAATGCAGCAGCTCTTGGGTGGTGGAGTGGTTTAGACAATGACTGATGGCAAAATGGATGTGTATTCTAATTCCGCTCATTGTTTAAATGAACTCCTTCCATTAAATACATTTTTTAAAAAATGTCATAAAAGCACAAGCTTTGTTTGCAAAGCAGCCCCAGGATGTGAATGGAGCTGCTGTTGAGAAAGTCGTCTTCAGGAAAATAAACTTCACCTGCTACCCAGGCCCCACTAATGCCCCCAAATGGGAGGCATTAACTCCTCCTTGATGACACAATGACAGTGGGGCTCACATCCCTTCTGCATCAGCCACCCAATGGAGAATGGAACTCTTGGCTGTGCTCAGGATGGCACTTTGAGGTAGGTTTCTACAGGCTTCATCGTCAAAAGCCCATGTGAACTTCAGAGTCTGACCTCTGTCCTTGGGGCTGGATCCCCACAAGCTGCTATGAATAACCTATCTGACCATCTCCTCAAGAAAGTTCTCTCCCGCTTCCCCTACTCACCCCAAGGCCAGGCTTTTCTAAGGCTATGAGGCTTTTCCTGCTGCTTCCAGAAAACAAGCAAATTGTGCAGAATTCCCCCTTTCCAGAAATAAGTCTGAAAATTATACATAGGGTGAAAACCTGGTGTAATCCATGAGAAGAACCAGAGAGTCAAAGACATTATTTTCCATTAATGATCTAGAATAAGAAATTCTTTCCTATCACTCTGTGCCATTTCACAATGTTTGGCACTGATGAACTCAGTGTGCATCTCAGGGGGAAATGTCATCAAAAGGAATATGATTAAAAAAATATGCAGCCTGTAGCGTGTAATGGATATTTGTTCTGGCAGTATGCATATAATATTAATATTTAAAGGAGTTTTAAGGTGGCCCAAATAAATGCAGTGGTCCCCAGAGATGGTCCACTGTAAAATGAACTGCCACATGTATAAAAACCACTTTGTCATTTGTGTACAATGTGACAAAAGGCGTTCTATTTTCATGTATAACTAATTAGAACAAATTAAAGAATTTTTTAAAATTAAAAAACCAAAAAATAAATAAATAAAATTAAAAAACCACTCTGGGGCTGGGGTTGTGACTCAGGGGTAGAGCACTTGCCTAGCATGTGTGAGGCACTGGGTTCGATTCTCAGCACCACATATAAATAAATAAAGGTCCATTGGCAATTTAAAATATATTTTGTATAAAAACTCTCTCTCTCTCTCTCTCTCTCTCTATATATATATATATATATATAATATATATAATATATATATACATATATTATATATCTTTCTCTAGAAATTATTAAAATGATTATTATTTGTGAAACAGCTGAATGAACTATTTGCTGTTAAAAATAAGAAATCAAACACATGCTATAAAGTAGGTTGGTAAGACAAACCTTTCCTTCCGCCATAAGGTTGTGCTACTGGAAACCTGGCTAGCAAGCCACTGAATGGCAGTCCCCTGGTTTATATATCTAAGGCAGCACTGCCCTTCACCCTGATTGGAGGACTCAGGGGTACAATCTACATGATTGGCTAATTTTAGAATTGAGGTGGGCAAAAAGGAAGGGCGACTACAATTGGATCCAATTAAGGCTGAATACTGTATTTTGAAAATGGACCACCAGGGCTGGGGATGTAACTCAAGCGGTAGCGCCCTCGCCTG